AACAAACAAATCGTCAAGATTTGAAGCATCGCTGAAACTTTTGGTTCCAAAATTTGCTGTATTTTATCACAGATTAACTGAATTGTGGGCTGAGACAACTGCATATAAGCACAACATTGATAAGGTTACTGTGAAAAAAGCTAACGAGGAACCAGAAACAAGTCATCATTAAAAGTCCCTCCGAAGGAGTTATCGCAAAAGCAAAGACATTCGCGAAACAGCAGAATATAGTAGAACAACATATAAAAGCTATTTAGGGACAAAGATATTTATCAAATCTGAAAAAATCATCTGCAGCAGTTCCAGCAGATCCATAATCACTCAATCAGAAAAGAATTAAATTGTATCAACTTAACAAGGTTATTTTGGCTACACTGTTTAGGTGCAACTACTACAAGACATGTCCCAAAAGCCTGATGTTGAAATTTGGACGACATACTCGACCGTTTAAAGTCTAAATGGTTCACAGGAAATCAGCTTCCTCATCTCCGAGAGCTTCCTTTACATCACAAGAATATGAAGGTGACGCAGGAGATGAATTTACCCATGAAGAAAATCATACACTTCCATAGCCAGCGCTAAAGACCTATAGTGCGAAGACATCTTGGACAGCCTATAATAGTGCGAAGATATTTTCCGACTTAGCAACAGTCAAATGCAGATGCAGAGAAATAACTGTCCGGTTCAGAGTGGGAGCAAGACTTTGCGACTTCGGAGTAAGAAGTGACTCACTCGTCAGATAGTGACTACTACCTGTTTCGAACTTTGGCTATTGCGGTGGGCACAAATTCAATTTAAATGAACTAAATACTAATTATTTTGATTGAAAAACATATGGAAAAAAAGCTTTTGCTGACAGCCAGCGTCATATTAAAACAAAATTATGCTAACATATCATTTTATGACAATAAAATATTTGATGACGTCATGCAAAATTTGTTAAAAAATAACCCTTCAGTGAGGAGCTAACGATGATTTTGTCTGATTTTTTACCGTTAAAGACGTCATCAGTCACGTGATATCCAGGCATTTTCCAAAAAGTCACCTGGCAGATTATGAAAGCCTGAACTCCCTACTAGATCCGTTGAGAAAGTAAACATTAGCTTGAATGTCAGATTGTCAAGCTATATGTCCTGTCTATCACTCTTGAAAATTGCGTACAAGATTTTACCAAAAAAAAAGATTTCTAGGGATTTTCAGATAAATCAATAGGATCAGGGGCGAAAATACCGGGGGGGTGTGGGGGGTGTGACACCCCCCAATCTAAAAAATAGTCGATTTCGCAGGGCAATCGAAGATATCGCAGGGCGCCAAGAAGAGCTTTGTTGCCACGCAGAAATGTCACCTCTGAAGTTCGTAAAGGGCCGTTTAGGAATTTTGAAATGGAAATATCATATTTGTTATGAACCAACTTTTCTGATATTGCATTTTTAGAGAACGGAACAGGTATGTAAGGAAAAGCTCCGTTATTTGCAAAGCGAAAGCATCTCTTACCGAAAGTCATAGCCAATGGATGCAATGATTGATGCATATGTTTATGTGGGCAAGGTTGAGTCCATATAAATTAATTTAAGTTGTAAATTATTTTCATGACAGGCACGGCGTCACTGAGGGGAATAGGGGGCTGAAAGCCCTCACTTTGGTCAAGATAAGAACTTTTTTATCATTTTTTCTATTAATTTATAACAGTGCATGAAATAAAAAGAGAGTAAACCGTTAAGATGCCGATTTTTTTATCTAATTACTAACTTTTTCACATATTTTGTTCTTTTTTTTTCTTTTATTTGCATTAGTAAATCACTTTCTGTATCATTGCAATGTTTTAATTTTGGATGGCCTTCTCGATACAAGAAACTGCACATTTCTGTTCAGGAAATAAAATTCCCCCAATCAAAACAACATCTTCCTCTGTCATTCACAACTATGTGCAGTCTGAAACGAAAGGTTACCGTTTCTCTCTTTCCACAACGTCTATCACTAGAGTTTTAGCATGACATGCCTCTCCCTATTTTTCCCAATAAACAATAATCAGCTTTTTAGCACAATAGTATTTTGTTAAATTTCAGTCTGAAAGATGCTTTTTAGCCCTATTACAAGGTATAATTTCAAAAATTTTCTTCACGTCGGACCCAATCATGGTGGGTCCTCCTATATCACTAAACGTGATTCTTAGTCCCCCGGGCTCAATTTGGTTGCTCCGCCCATATAATGTACCAAAAAATCATATGCTACGAGATAGAAGCTTTATTATCAAGGAAAACCCCGGGCTCAATTTGGTTGCTCCGCCCATATAATGTACCAAAAAATCATATGCTACGGATAGAAGCTTTATTATCAAGGAAACCAAATTTGACATATAATTTACGCTCACGTAGAGAAATAGATATTTCATAGGCAATGAAGTTTCAAGTTTGTTTTTATTGCTTAGAAGTTTTCCTTGGTAAAGACCAGTGTACACTGGTGAAGCTTTCACTAGTAACTATAGAGTATAGACAAACCTTTGCTACGAGGTCTGCAGGGCACCACTCTCAGTTTTGCAGGGCAGAAACCCTTTTCACCCCCCCCCCCCAAATCTACTGGCCAAGTTACGCCCTGAATAGGATTTTCATAAAAAGTGTACAAGATTTTCTTGGAGTGATTTGCCCCTCGAGCTAGACTCCTATTTTGTCAGGAAAACCTCTGGTCTTCTAGAAATGCTCTATGTTTATCTACTTGCTATGTTTTATAGGAAAGAATTTAAAGCTAAATAAAAATAAGAATATCTGAATATGTCAAAATATTTATTTATTTCAGTTCTGATGTCGCTATATTTTGTGTATTTAGATATGATTGTATTTATCATTTTTACTGAGGCGGAAAGTTAACCTCTTCTTTAATCTAAATTATAAGTTGTAAGAGGTTGCCCATTGTATTCCTTCCCATGCAGTACATTGTTATAAAGGAAACATACTACAGTAAGACAATTATTGGTGGGGCTTCAGATACCCCCCCCCAGCCCCCCGGCTCCGACGGGCCTGAAAAATGTGATTGCAACAGGGCTACATGTACAGATTTACACTATGGCATGCACATCTATTTGCAACAGTGTGTCTGTTGTGATCGAATTTAGTTAACGAATGGAATGTTTTCCATTTTAATAGACTTCAAGAAATTTCATTTTTCTGCATTATGGTGTTAAGATATCAGTTATGCTCAAATTATATTAAACAGCAAACAGAAATTGTATTAATAGCTAAGAGACAGTGGCGTCAATAGGAAAATTCACAGGAGAGGTGAGAAACTTTCCGACAAAAATCTAGCAAGCATTTATATTTTGTCATAAATTGTAACAAAATACAACGACATCAGAACTGAAATAAATATTTTGAAATATACCCCTTTAGGCATGCTTTACTATTCATTTTTCGTTCCGATCCGGGGTCGATAGATTCTCTCTGTCCGTTGGCAAAATCACAAAGCCTCCGAAACAGACGAAGACATGATTGACGGCCTCTTGATAGTTCTAGCCCAAACGAACTTCAGAGAGTTGGATTATAAACGCCCCCATGTGTTATTTACTAAACAATTAATTCACATTTCCGCTTGTTTCTGGGTTGTTCTTCTTGTTCCTGGGTTGTTCCGCTTGTTACTGGGTTGTTCCGCTTGTTCCTCGTTTTAGCAACGTCGGATATGGACCCCACATAGAGAGTCCCTTTTTCCATAAAGCGAGTGCCCCCGGTGTTGTCGGGTCATTACCAATAACATATCTCAGCTGTTACACAATAGAACGTTGTTAGGCAGTTATAAAAAAACAATAGGAAACTTATTACTCACCATGCTTTTTTCATTCCTGCTTCGTTCTTTGTCTTGTTTTGGTTTGCGAACTGAGGGTAGAGCATCACGTCGAAAAAATGTTTTGGTATTTTCGGTGTCAAAATCAGGAGGAGAGGGAAATTTACGGGAAAAATCAGTCGGAAAAAGGTAATCTTGAATAAGATGATGGCTCGATATCTTTACGCTGCATTTTTAATAAGTAATGCCAAGCAGCGAACTTCTGTTGGGGCAGGTTTTCCAGGATGGCATTCAAGCACAACGGTATCTTCCTCAAGGGGGTATTCGTTCCAAAAAGTCATGCACAACGCTTTATTTCAATTTTTATCAATTTTATAATGAACCAAAAAGTTTTTCTAAATTACTTTCCGACCTTTGATGGCATTGCTTGAGTTATATAAATAAAACTTATTACAATTATGGAGGAAAAAATATTTAGGGGGACACAACAGTAGTGCCCGCACATAGTGAAACCATACAGAAGCCTTGTTCTATTCAACGGATACACAACCACTTTACGTCACAGGGGAAGGTTCGACCGCGTTTTTGTTGTGACACACATTGGGTGTTGGAAAACCCCGTTTTTTGGGGAAAGTAAGTCGCAAATGAAAAAACTAAGTTCACCATCGTTACCAGCGATGTTTCTTTGATGATTTAAGCGAATAAAAATTTTCGTGTCATATGCACTTTAAGCAGTTAGATTGCTAGCTTCAGACCTCATTTACCAACAAAGTGAGCGAAAAAGCACTCACGCATGGCTAAAAGTCCTCGTTTTTGTGATAAAACGTTTTCCAAAATTGCTGTTTACAGTAGCTCAGCCTCAGCTTGTTCTCAATTTGTTCTTAACTTTAGACCAATCTTGAGGCTCGTGTTCTTATAAAATTTTTCTTTTAAAAAAAAGAATGTAACTGCAAGTTCTAATTGAGACAGCCAACGCCAGAAGGTAGAAAGAGGCTTATCGTTATCATTTGATCTTGATTAAATCTCTTTAGATGATTTTTATGCTATTAGATAGCATACCTATTTCCGAGGGGGACTGGGCCCTCCAAACTTTCAATAGGAGAGGCTCAAGCCCAAGAGCCCCCAATCCCCCCCTCCCCCCTAAATCTGCGCCTGCTTGAAAAATCCTCGCCATGCTTGTTACACAGGGGTGTGATGTGATAGACACATGCAGAATGAAGTGTCCTTACCTAACGATAAAATCAGTATAGTTGTCAGCAGTTGCTGCTAGTCCAAACTTCTGTTTGAGAAGATAGAGCGAATTGCTTTTACTGATTCCATGAATCCAGCCAGCTCCCTCTTGTATGGTCAGATTTCCAAATTTAGTATCCTTCAATCTGCCGCCTATGTAACTCTGGGCCTCCAAAATTAGAAATTCCTTCTCCCCTTTATCGAATAACCGTTTTGCAAAACCAATACCTGCTGCACCGCCACCAAGAATCAACACCTTTGTATTCATTTTCGCTGCCGATATCCATGACGAATAACTGACGAGCAAAATCACGGCAACTCTCCATGCTACTTCCATCTTCGAAATTCGTGTTATGATCAATGCTAGGGCTAGGGTTGACAAAGGATTGCAAATCGAAGCACACACACAGTTGACGGGGGTGTACGTTTATCAAAAACAATACCTTTACCGAATTAGCGTCAAAGTTTACTTGTTGGGGAGATGTAAGTCCGTAAGGTGTAGGTGGCCCCCCGTGAAAGGAGTAGGTGCACATGCGTACTTTGCATTTCACATCAGATAGGCAAAGGGGGGAACAAAAAATAAACAACGTAGTACAGCATTGTTCTAGCATGTTTAATGCGCGTGCAGGTTTAATTACTCCTCGTAGCTAATTGGTTCGGACAAACCACTTACGCTTTTGTTCTAAACAATGGAGCCGCGATCTCGTCTCCCCAACAATTACGCGTTATGAAAACGAGGCGAAACGTGACAAACTGTTGCTTGCTGCTCGCTTGGTAGGCAAACCAAAAGTGTGAGTCTAAACAACAGCGGTAGAAGGATTTCGTTATTAAACAAGTGTTTTTTCAAACGTAACATATTACACATTACAAGCAAGTATCCTTTGTAATGTATAAAGATAAAGGTTTGTCGACAAACCGGGGCGGATTCAGGGTGTCGCACAGGTCGCACGGAAGACCGTCAGATTTTCAGAATTTAGTTTTAGTCTTCAATCATTGAAATAAGGCAACCATGTTTACCACAATCTTTTATTTTCCTCCTTACAGATATTACATTTACCTCTCCTTACACAATAAAAACAGGACCGAACCACCCGAACCTTGGTCGATCTCGAACACAATGCCACGATTAATTTCAATATAGAAGAAATTCAAAGACCATCCTAGACCGTGAACAGTATGGTTATCAAGCATGTCGCCCGTGCCGCACAAATATGCAGGGCTCTTTGTTATGCACATATTTTACCAAATCTCACCAATCAAAATTCAAGTTTTCACATATTTGTGCGGCACGAAAAGTCTGTAAACACACACACAACTGCTGGCAAGGGAAGAAAGTGGACGAGGTACACCTCTGAATCTCAAGATATTTTGTCTCAACTGAGTGTTTGGATTTGCGGGAAAATTTGGAAAACCTTTTAAAAGGGAAAAATATTTGACTGAACAATTTGAACGTTTCAGGGCCCCAGTCCCGTCGCCACCCTCAAAACTACTACAAGGCCTGCAAACCTCTTTGGTGAGGCAACTTTCGCTCCTAAAGATAAGGGCGTCCATTATTAAGGCGTTTCATCAATCAAAGTGTATCAGTCTTGCTTAGCGGGACGAATCGCAGTTAGAAAGATAACGCTTATTACAAGACATGAAAATAGTATTCTAGACAAAAAATCAAGATGGCTTTCTTGAAAAAAGGTGAAATTATTCCTTTTATTTATAGTGGTTGCAATAATCGACATTGTGAGCTTTAGGGTTTTTGCCTTCGAAATTAAACATAGTTGCTTTGGTTATTCTGTATCCGCCCCTGATGGAACTTCTTTATCACAACCGCAAAGCAACGATATTCGGCTTAACAGGTCAAGAGATTTTCAGGCCCAATTAAAAGTTCTGATAAAGAAGTTATGGAAACCTTCGTTTACATGGGATTTTTTCCATTTTCAAAACTAAAATAATGTTATTTGCGAAAATCATTTTAAACCAGAGGAAGTACTCAAAGCATTTGGCAGTAGCAGTGGCAGAAAGAGGTTAGTTCGAAACGCGGAACCATCAGTTTTTCATCGAAAAAATACTTCTGGACTACCGAAAAAGCGACAGTCGCCAAAGAAACGCTGCGTTCTGAACGAGCCTTGTACTGCTTCCAGTGAAGAGGAAACAAACACACTTACAGTTGACATAGAAGAGCACGATAAATTGGAAAACGATAAAAGAAATAATTACAAATTCAGCACAAAACCATCTAGGATATGTCAAGAAAGTTGGACCAAACAGAAGAATACACGACCAAATCATTCAAGAAATGTCAGAGAAGCAAAAACAACTTCGACTAAATCTGTCTCAATGTAATAACATCACTATGTACAAGGCACTGAAAAAAGAACGAAACAAAATCCTGCATGAAATCAAGCATAGACTCGAGCAAAATAAGGAGCAAGAGCTGAATCTGAAAGTTAGTCAGCTCGGTCATATAGAAGACGCTTCTAAAATGTATAAATCAGTTAAAATTTTGCAGCAAAAGTCCTTTATAAATCCTTATGTTTACGACGAGAACAAAAAATGCATACCAAAGCCATGTGAAATCTACAAAGTAGTTAGAGGTCATTTCGAGAAACATTTCAACGACGATGATGTTAGTTGTATGAATCCATTCGACAGTCAGCCAAGAAAACTGAATAAAGAAATATCAATAGAAGAAATTACAGCCGGCATTAATAAACTGAACAACAACAAAACTCCAGGAATTGACAATATATCTGCCGAAATGGTAAAGTATGGCCCTTTGACCCTGTCCAAAGCCTTCAAAAATACCCTGAATGAAGCCTTTGAAAAAGAAATAGAACTAGGATTGGGCGACGGCATACTTGTGTCCTTGCAGAAGCCTGGAAAAACCAAAGGCCCTGTCACCAACCTACGACCAGTGATATTGCTCCCAATACTGAGAAAGATCTTGTCAAACATAGTTCTACATCGCATCCAACCTACGGTAGAACGATTCTTATCAGATTGACAAGCAGCATATCGACCGAGTCGCAGTACTTCAGATATGGTGTGGGCATACAAATGGATCAGTGCAAAGACACAAAAATCACAAATTAAAGTTTACATCACTAGCATAGATATGAGTAGCGCTTTTGAAACAATCCGACGTGAACAGCTTGTTGATATTGCAAAGAAATTCCTCGACGAAGATGAAGTAAGAATGATTCAGTTGTTTTAAAGCAATACAACTCTAGATGTAAGAATAAACAACGCCGAGACAGAGCCCTTCAGTAGCAATTTGGGCTCACCACAAGGTGATGCGCTCAGCGAAGTACTGTTTAACATTTATTTTGAAGAATCACTCCGAAAAGTAAGGAATTTTAGACATGAGATTAACAGTAAAGATCACGAAGAAAATGGCAACTGGTCTCCAACATTTCTACCTCAGGAAGCTATATACGCAGACGACGCTGATTTCCTCACAACTAGTGAATTGGAAAAGAATATCATCACAGAAAAGATTGGAGAAATTCTGCTTAGAGATAATTTGAAAGTAAACAACAGCAAAACAGAGCAAACAGAAATTTTTCGAGGAGACAGAAACACAGAGCGATGGAGGACAGTTAAAAAGCTTGGCTCTCTGTTAAGTGATACGGAAGATATACAAAGAAGAAAACAGTTGTCGATAGCATCCATGAATAGATTAAATCACATCTGGATCAGAAAAGACCACGTCAGCGAAAAACTTCGCCTCAAGCTTTACAGAACACTTGTAAAACCAGTTCTGATGTATAACAGCTCTACTTGGGGACTGACACAAAAAGATACGAAAGGTCTAGATGCTTTTCACAGACAGCAACTGAGACAGCTAATAGGAAAAAAAGTATCCTAACAAGATCTCCAATCTGAACTTGTACAAAAGATGCGAAGATGGACCAATTTCAATTGACATCCTCAAGGATAGATGGCGGCTGTTTGGTCACATATTACGCTTGTCCGACGATACACCGGCTGTGAAGGCAATGAGATTTTACTTTGAGGGATCGGAGAGGGGATTCAGAGGCAGACCTAGAGAAACTCTCGTGACAACCTTAAATAAAGATATCACCAGAGCAAGAGCAATGGAAAGGTCTTTTCCACTACCGAACATAAAGAACAATGGAGATTTTGAAAAGATACGATCCACAGCAAAGGACCGCAAAGAATGGAGAAGATTATCAGAAGTAGTGTGCAGAGCTGCAGAAGCAGAAACAACATGAAACCTTCATGTCGGGACTGCGTAACTGCAATTATATATATAGAAGAATATATATAGAAGAGCAAAATGAAGAAGCATTACTTGGAATGGAAGTTGACATGCCGATACCGGAAACTAATACCTTTGAGGAAGAAAATGCCCTATTAAAAGAGGAAAATCATTTGCTAAAGAGTGAGCTGGAATTTTTGTAATAAAAAAGCTTTGGTAAAACCTGGGGAAAATTGTGAAAACATAGTTTTATGATGAAAGACAAAGGAAATCACAAGATATTTTTCAAAGACAAACAGAAAGAAAAATCACACAACATATAAAAGTTCAGTTGGTATTGCACCTTCAGGCAGGGGCGTCGCGACCGGGGGGTGTAGAATTTCAGGTAAAACCCGCGCGGTGGAAGAAACGCTTTAGGTATTTTAGAGCCCTTAATGTCATAAAATCAATAAAGGATCGAGCCAAGGTAGTTGCTCCGTTGGCTAAATATGATATTCCTTGATATGAATGAAGGAAAATAAACTAATAATTTGAAGATTTGAAGATTTCTTGTTGGCACTAAATCGAAAAATCCAGGCCCTCTTTAGGTAAAACTGTGTCTTGTGTCCATTTCCCCTAAAGTTTCTCGGTAGAAGTGTCAACTGCAATTCACTATGAGCTCTAGATTTCAGTGCTGCTTGTTACCTAGCTTCAGAAGTAACTGACAACATGGTATTTCTCAAGACCACGGCAAAATTATACCAGTTGTTTCCATCTGTTGCTCAATTTGTTTGCAAAAAAAATTTCAATAGGATTAGAAGGATTGCTTTAATGAAATGTGCTTGAAAGAATGCATTTTCCAGGGAACTAGAAGCATCAAAATTTGAAAATTTCCTCATCTGAAGTTGCAACCTCATCTGGTACTTTCTCCAAACCTTTTAAGGAGTAGTCTGCCAACTCTAAAAGAAGTGCCACTACATGATTGCAGTAACCACTCTTTCTAGCTGGACAGCTACAAGAAGCATTTTCAACACGACCAGTCCTTTTATTTAAAGGAACATTGACATCTCGCATTTCTTTTTTCATTCTAGCCTTACATTTACACTGGACTTTAAAAGTATTTTACACTGACTGGGTGAAAACTGTGTCTGACTTTAAATATCTTTCTTCTTTGAACTTCTTGCCTCGCAACATTGTCTTGGCGATAGGTCCTGGAATCAATAAAGACAGCACAAAATACTAGACAACTTAAGGATTTGATCGAAACTTGGTTCCTTGAAAACAAGTGCGCATGCTCGTTTTGCAGTAAATGAACTGTATTGAGCAATCCTTGAAATTGCTTCATGTTAGTCTTAATTAGTGTATCTTCACTATTGTAAAAACTAACATTAAATAATCTACAATACAATACAAAGACATGGGCAAACATACACAATGTTTTTCAAATTGAAGCATCTTGGTTTTGGAAACAAACTTTTTATAAAAGCTCGTTTATGGCAAATCTAGCTGCACTTTTAGCCTCAAAGCTTCAAAAAATCAAAGAGCTGCTTGCATATGATAGAAATGCCCATTCAAAGATCTCCATCTTAGCAAAGTTGACCGAAGAACTCTCCAAGAAGTGTTTTTGTTCAGGGATGGCGCTGGCGCCACGTTGGAGGTTGGGGGCGGCTGAAGCTTCCTCACCTTATCAGAGATAAAAATTTTCACCGTCTCTTTCATTATTTTTAAAAGCAGTGTATGAAGTAAAAAGAGAACAAACAATTTATTTGCTGCTTGATTATTTGATCTTTTTACTCACTTATTTAGGTATATTTCTATTATTTCTCTATTATTTGCATCGATTCAGTAGATAACTTTCTGTATCTTTGCATTGTCTGCATTTTTGGATGTGTAAACATGGCCTAATGAAAATATTCGAGACAGAGAAGATGCACATTTCTGTTCAAGAAGTCGAATGCTCTCAATCATTACAACAGCTTCTTGTTTTTCGCATCGTTGTATACTCTGAACCAACCAAATGTGACCCTTTCTTTTTTGCCAACGTCTGTCACTAGAGTTTTAGCATGACTAGACCAGAGGGTGGAAGGGGAGCACCACCACCCGAACGGAGAATTTATGAGACCAATCTATTCTGGTTCAGTTTTTTGCGTAGATTTCGAATTTGGGTGTTGATCAACGGTTTAAGGGGGCTTTCCCGAGATATGGGGGGTCTAAAGACAAATTTTAGGGTCAATTGCTACAAGTTTGGTTTCCTCAATAAATTTCAATAAGATAAAGATTGATATGTTCTCTGACTATATCTATGATTGTTGGCTGATATTTGAAAGTGTTTTTCTATATTTAGAATTTAGGGGATTAAGGGAGGTGTGAAAAATTAAATTTTTTCCAAAAGAAAACATTACTGTTACAATATATTTGAATACTATCAAGTCTACCCAAAAAATTATTCATCTTCATCCTTATCCTCAGACATATCAATGCCTCTTCTTAAGTCTTCCATTTCTACAAGATCGTCAACCTCCACTAGTATTTTTGAACATCCTCTGGATTTTGCGAAAAAAATTCATTAAACAGAATTAGAAAAGTCACCTTTCCACCCGTGGTGTACTTGAGCCTTCTTGCTCTATCATTGGTTGAGAGGCTTGTCTGCACATTTGTGCAATGTAATTTGAACGCTTGATGTATCTTAAAAGGCTGTTTTTGCATGGTGGTTGCAAAGAGAAGCTCCAAAAATTTTTCCGTTTAATATCATGAACAGACGATAATCTCTTTTCTCCAAACAACGCACAAGTAAACCTTTCAATACCCCCAATTACATAATTTATAGGATTACTTGATGCCCCTAGCTTTGCGACAGTTTTGACGAATGCTTTTGTGCCTTGCATAAGCTTCCAACTTTTTCTAAAAAATACCTACCTACCTACCTCCCTTTCTACCTTCCTCCCTATCTACTTACCTACCTACCTCCCTATCTCCCTTTCTACCTACCTACTCAACAGGGGCGGATACAGTATAAAAGTTGACGGTCGCACATAAACAGTACCCAGCAGGCGGTCTAGAGGGCCTCCCTCATGGTCAAGGGTAGTGCCATGATAGGGACCCAGCCCCCCTCCCCCCGGAACCAGAGCAACTAGGTTTAATTTCAAGGGCAAAAACCCTAAAGCTCACAATGTCGATTATTGCAACCACTATAAATAAAAGGAATAATTTCACTTTTTTTCAAGAAAGTCATCTTGATTTTTGGTCTAGAAAATTATTTTCATGTCTTGTAAGCGTCAACTTTCTAACTGCGATTTGTCCCGCTAAGCAAGACTGATACACTTTGATTGATGAAACGCCTTGATGGACGCCCTTATCTTTAGGAGTTGCCTCACCAACGAGGTTTGCAGGCATTGTAGTAGTTTTGAGGGGACTGGGGCCCTGAAACGTTCAAATTGTTCAGTCTAAAAAATTTTCCCTTTTAAAAGGTTTTCCAAATTTTCCAGCAAATCCAAACACGCAGTTGAGACAAAATATCTTGAGATTCAGAAGTGTACACTTCCTGTGCACCGCTTCCGCATAAATAAAGAAAATTGGGATTTTTCTCCTTTACAACTTTCAACCTCATCCACTTTCTTCCCTTGCCAGCAGTTGTGCGGCACAGTAATCTAACATAGTGCTTACAGACTTTTCGTGCCGCACAAATATGTGAAAACTTGAATTTTGATTGGTGAGATTTGGTAAAATATTTGCATAACAAAGAGCCCTGCATATTTGTGCGGCACGGGCGACATGCCTAGTGGGATCGTGGACAGCTGTAGAAGTAAGGGTAGTCGACTTCTTACTACAAAATACTGTGTACTTATTATACCAGGAAAGCTTTACCCTCTCTTAATGCTGGAGCTTTTTGCAGAGTTCGGCATGATGAAAGTTTATATAAGTTTCAATAGTTGCTTCTTCCCCATTATTAACATTGATTGGCCCTTGTTATTAGGCGCTTGCTTTCGTCACTGTTTTCTTTTTTAAGAAGATGCCTTCTTGCTTACTTTCTTCCCCTTTTGCGTTTTGTTTGCAAAGACAGATACGGCCTTCGTAAAGTTCAGGTAACACTGGCGATATCGTTAAAGGGCAAAGGATCTGATCTTCAATGACTAAATGAGTGTAATGAACAGCTCATCTTCTTTTTCTGTTTGCCATATATTCTAACTACCTTTCATAGTTTACTCTTGCTTTAATCACAGAACATTGAAAATGATAATGAATTTGTAAGCAATGAAATTGCAGTTTCTAGGTCTAGGTTTTTAGGTTAGTTCAGGTTGAAAGAAAATCCAAACCTCTACACTTTTACACCCTCAATGGTCTTCAATGTTAACAGGTAATCATCTTTTAAGGCTGTGAAGTACATACAAGTTACATTCCTAGGTTATGACACAAAACCATGTGTTAAAGTACTTCTCATAAAGATTTGCTTTTGGGCCTCATTTCCTTTCTGATCCATAGCAATAAAGCTGTAGTTATATGGAAATATCCATATCAGTCATTACACATGTCTGAGAAAGCCACATTCCTGGTGAGTACAAACAGCCATTTCCCTATGTGATCATGCTACAGTACTCCATTCAGTTGCGAAAAATCAGTTTTTCGTGGAATTTACAGTATTTTGTACTCCTGTTTCGTTTTCTATGGCCCCCTCACTTCCAAATGAGAGTCAACAAGCATAGATATCATCAAAGAACTGACCTGTCTATATTTTATTGACATTTATATTAGCCCTAAAATCAGACTTTAGACCCCCTATATCTCTGAAAAGCCCCCTAAAACGGGGAATCAACACCCAAATTCGGAATCTACACGAAAAACTGATCCAGAATAGATTGATCTCATAAATTCTCCGCTCGGGTGGTGGTGGTCCCCTTCCACCCTCTGGTCTAGACGTATCTCCCAATTTTTTCTTAAAATTCAATGATCAATGTTTTACTGAGAATCGTTGAATTGTCAATTCTAAGCAATTGAGTATAGTAATTTGTTGAACTTTAGTCTGGTAGATGCATTTTTAGCTACGAGAACGCTTAATTTCAAAAATTTTCTTTCGCGACGGACCCAGTCCTCCTATGTCACTAAACTTAATTCTTAGTCCCCCCTCCCCAGGCTCAATTTTGTGGCGCCATATCTGCGGCACAGGTCCAGAAAAATTGTGTCAGGAGGAAAGAATGGGGGTCGGGGGGTGTGACCCCCGGGAAAGTTTATGTGGCCGCGACCTTGATTTTTGCAGAGATCGCACCTTTTGAAGATGGTTACGCCCTGCCTATCTTTTTCATTTCACCAACATTTTTTTGAAATCCTATAGTCTTTTAGCATTTTTAATATTTTGTATGATTTTTCCAACCTCCTGCACAAGTAAGGACCCCCCCTCGCTTATTAAAAGCAGCTAATAAATTCCTAATAGCTATTAATAATTATAAATAGTTATCATTGACCTTGAAAGTTGACCGCAAAAAACGATTTTATCATTTTTCCTCCAAGCGATCATCACTTATAAATCCACTGTGATCGGTGTTCTTCCGTGAATTTTGTATCTTTATCCCATAGCAGAATTCGTGGTATTTGAGTCATTCTCTGCCCCCCTCGTTTATTCAAACACCCGCTTATTTTATCGTTCTTGAGATTTTGATTCCACATCCCCCGCTTCTTCTGACCCCTCCGTAATCAAGGCACAGGCCAACATATATGAAAACCAGAATTCAAGGAGGGGCCTGGGCGCACCTGTACCGAAGCGTAAATTGGCGAATCTTTGTCAAACCTGTATGTAAATCAAGGAATGCTTTTTCCACTTGGACAAACAGCAGGGGCATTTCATTTAAAAGCGTAATTATCTCTGACCGTGTTCATTCTCCGTCTACACAAATATCGTCTCCTTGCATACTGGACAATTGTCGAAACCAATTCAAAGATAACAACAAATTGAGCCGAATGTTGAACAGAGTCAGGAAAACATCACCGTCGAACGGCCACTGACCGGAGGAAGGTCCACGATAAACAATAGAAGCTCCTATGACATACCAAAGCCACACCCACTTTATATTGTTTTTTGAGGAAGGTTTGCCTTCTGGGATGTTTTTGTCTGGAGGAAGTTTAAACAATTTTTTTAGACCCTGATGTTGAAATTCCTATTCACCCATTCTCCTGATTTCTATTCGATCAATAATCGTGAGGCATCGTATCGTGCAGGTTTGAGTAGTTTTCAGATTCAAGATAGAATTTTTCATTTTACAAAAAACTTAATACCAACTATAAACAAATCAGACAATTTTTATACCATAAATATATACAGCACTTAAAACAAAAACAATTTTCGAGATATTTGTCCCTTATGGCTTATTTTTACTTTTTAAGTCAATAACACATAATTTTCACTTTTTGGACAACGTCATTGTACCATGTGCTAATACAAAATACTTTAAGTAAACATAAATTTGAAATTATCAGCATTCTAAGAGGGGGTTAACCTCTTTTTTTGTACAAATCTTGTTTACATTTTAGTTCATTTTGACCATTCCCTTATGATCGGGCATGCAAGGAAATGATCGGGCAGAACAATCTTTCCTTTAATTCATTAACTACACAAGCATATCAAAGAATTTCCTTTATGCTTCTTTACTTTTGTTATATACTCCGTTTGCAGAGGCTGCAGATACAGCTATGTGCAATCAACTGTTTTCTCTACACCTTCCCGCTCCATTAACAATGGCATTTATATCTCCTTAATATTCTTCTAGCTTGTCAATTACACCAGTACGTATTATTCCAACAAAGATGTGAAGTATCAAAATTTAAATTAAAGTAAAGATGTGAATGGAATCATTTATCCCCCACATACAAAAGACTCCTTTGAGGATCCTATACTAAGGCAAACTTCTGCCATTATCATTTGCCTTATTTTTCTATGTGCTGGCAAACACCTGTCAAAATATATCTGATCATTTTTGGAAAGCCTACTTCTTATTAGTCCTCATCGACCCAGTCCAAAATTGCAACTGTAAGATCTTCTGAAAAAGCATTTAAGGTGAATTTAGATAAGGGTAGGGCGATTAACATATTTTTCGACCACTATTAGAATTTAGAAATTAAAGGTTATTTCTATCACTGCCAAGACAGTTTATAAAAATTTAGTTTACTTGACATTTTGGTTACAAAATATAACAACATTCTATTTTGAATACGATTTATGAAAACCTTTGCTATACAACCAAGCTTTGCTTCATAAGCAATGTCTTTGCAAATAAGAAGCATTTCGAGGAATGTTTTTACCACACTTCACATTTCTTTCCTGGATTCATTGGGGGGCGCGGGGACTTGCTGGAACATTTGAAAGCTTCGCTGAATTCTTCGAAATTTGATAATGTTCCAATAACCCTGAAATGGTATGACAATAGAGGAGCTCTATTTTTGATACAAGATTTAGTCAGAAGTTGTCAGAGAGCATGTTGATACGCAACAATTGATACGCAACGCTTTGTCTATCGGTTAAAAAAATCATCGACCATAATTAATTGAACTGAACAAAAGAAGTACCTGAATTTTGATGGAGAATGAATTTCACTGAGTGTAGCAATGTATTCAGTTTTCTTTCTCACGTTAGCACAATACTCCTTGAAAATAAAAAAAATGTAATAACAAAGCGCTTAGAATTTGCCAACAAAGGTGTGGGGGGTTATGGTATCAACAGTTAAATAGGACATTTTCCAGCGACAAGAAATATCTTTGGAGTCACATATCACGGTGGCAAAGGCCCGGATTCCAGAAATAAAGACGGAGGTTCTGTTGTCATTCAATACGATTGCAGGCAATAGCCGAGTCAGTCATACAGAGCACTGCTATTATTCACGTTTTATCGTAGATCGCAAAGCTGATGCAATATTATTGCGCTTTGGATGGGGATGACAGGCATTTTTCAATGTCTTGCTGGCTCTTTTAATACAAGGTTTGATCAAAACAGGCAAACTCTTGGCATAGAGAAAAATTACCGTAAAAGACATTTACAAAAGAATCAGGTAATGCCTCTTTGACAAATTAACTTCAAAAATTTCCGGCTGGCATTTTAAGAAGTTTTACTTACCTGAGCGTATCCAATGAAAAATAATTGCTTATTTGAGTAGCTTAAGTTAGGAAGAACAGGCTCTGGTCCTCCATTAAGCTTTAGCCAGTCCATATAGGCCTTAAAAATAAATCAATATATAAATTTATTTATGTATAGTAGAAGATAGGCTAAAAATGAGGCATGTTCTCTGTTACTCCGAGTTTCGTGCTTGCTACTATACCAAATTGCTCTGTGCTTCTGCACATCGAGCACTGTTAAGTCAGAATATGGAAAGGAAACGGGAATATATATTTATTTATATATATATAAATATATATATGAATAATGTACATAAGTAAGCTATAGTTTTTTCGAATATGACTCGTTAGGAAGTTCATGACTACATCGTTCTGTTAAAGCAAAAAGAGAAAACCTCTGAAAAAAGAAACACACGCCATAATTTGAAGTAACGTTTATAACGATAGATATTGATTGATTATAAAGTTTGTTATACCTAGCAGTCTTTACATTCTTTTCTCAAAGCTGAGGCCCGAGGAACAGCAAGGAGTGCAAGGGGAGAGGATGGGAGGACATTTTGGAAATTTTGTCAATAAGCTTTGTAACAGAAAGCTTCAGCTCAGCTGGAGCGAATTGTTTAACCTGTTATGAATTTTCAAGAAAAATTTGTGATGATGTTATCCTTTGTAAATGGTTTTGTAAGAAGTAAACAATTTACAACATATTGGCTAAAATCTTTTTCGCCTGACACTCTTCAGAGCATAAAACGACAGAATAAGAGTCCGAAAGAACACGATGAAAAATATATACCCAGTTGGGGATCGAAATAGGCCAATCAGAAAAACGCTAGCACATGACCGGCAGAGTTGTCCAATCGGTGCTGTAAAGATAGCAAATTCAATTGCAAATAAACAGAGCTTATGCTTACATCATATGCCAGCTTAGTTCCTCCGTTATCAGCAATGTTTTCTCCCAGAGTAAGTTTCCCACTAATCTAAGATGAAATGACAAGTGTAAATAATTCTTTATGGTGCATGTGGGAAAATCATATATAGAAAATTCTATCAATGTCTTAGTAAATTGCGGTTGCACGGCCTATCAAGCCCGCTATCTGAACAAGATTGATGTTTAGCTATCGGCATCAACGTAGCACTCATGATGCTAGTGGCGGGAAACGGTAGCGTGCACCTGCTGCTGGAATGCTTTAAATGCTCCATTGTAAAAGGATCATCAGAACAAAATGACCGCATTATACCGAAAACTTGTCCGTATGGTCAACGATAGAATCCAGATACCTTAGGTTAAATTGACTACCAAAAGAACCTAGCATGATGCACACATTATACCGAAAATTTGTCAGTATGGTCAACGATAGAATCCAGATACCTTAGGTAAAATTGACTACCAAAAGAACCTATGGTTGAAAATTAACTACGAAAATTTGTCAGTATGGTCAGAGACCTTACCGGGTATTTATCTTGAACTTTATACCGCGAGTACTGTCGTTGGATGCAGGTAGCTCTTTTGTGAAATTCTTTCAAAGCACTTTTTGACCACCATTCTTTGACGATGTCGCCATTTTTGTCAAATTTTCTCCCTAAGAATAAAACGATAATCCAACCTCTCATATTCTAAAACCAATCTATAAATCTAGAGCTACAATTTTTGATTATTTTTTATGATAACTAGATGAAAATTACGACTTCTTTCATAAAAATACACTATACGAATCATATTTAACCAAGAAATGCAAAGAAAATTAAAATGAATTTATTTATGTACCTTTTCGCTAATTTGAGTGTGTTGAAGATTCGGTCAGATGCGAAAAATAGGGCTGAAGAATAATACCAAGAAACGTAACTAGGCTATCGAAATTAAAAGCTATTATAGTAACTAATATATAGCTACCTGTATTATCGAAACCATGAGTCAATTCGTGCCCAATTATCGAGCCAATTGCACCATAACTCAGTGATCTAAAAAGAGGGAGAACAAGACAAATATACAAACCAAAACATGATTTTAACTTCAAAAGCAAGTCAATATTAAGAATGTAAGACAAATATTGTACATTTTCTGATCTAGATATTTCTTCTCTTGACGCATTGCAAAATTTCTTCTGAATAACACCAGAGAGCTCTTAAAATAAAAAAGGGGTGATATCAACGATAAGGTTAAAGATTTTTAAAAACGTCAAAAGCTTCGCAATTTGAGAGATCTGGCAAGTTCTACAAGTCTGAATGATCTAAAAAAAACCATCTATGAAATACCACTGGGAAAAAGAAAATTATGCTCTTTCTCAGTTTCATAACATCAAATTAATGAGTTGGGAATTTTATTACTGAAAATGGACAAAAGCCTTTTTTATAGGATAAGATTTAGGTAAGAAAAAGACCATTAAAGAAGAACTGGCGGTAGATATCGGAGATAAAGATCCGATTTAATTATGATTGCATTTTACCTTGGTACATCTCCTTCGTAGTAGAATGGTGCTTGGAGAATGCCAGCAGGTATAACTAAAATTTTTATAAGCAGGGGAAAAGTTTAAAACAGCTGTGAAAAATGAATACTGCTTTGTATATACAAGTTGTGCATTGATGCAAGATTTGGTTACATAAATTCCTTTCACAACCTTAGCAGGAAATATTTAAGGTTGACGAGATGCAGAAAATTTAAAGTTACAGCATAATGTTTTGTTATTTACAAGCAATTTCTGGTAACACAAAATTTGAAGCAGCTATGAGGAAAATCTCTTTGAGGATTTTCGTCTGACATTCTTCAGGGAAAAATCTCTTAACCTAATGTCGAAATTTCAAAGCTTAACGACATAAACACATATTTCCAAATGCTTTTAATTGAGAGAAAAATGAAAGAGTAACAAAGCTTGCATCGATTTTCTACAAAATTCACCATAACAGAAACAAGCCTGTTGTTGCTGATGCAGAAGCTTTTGAACACCCAAATGCTTCACATTCCTTGCACACATCTATTTGCATCCTGATTTATACTAAAAACTAAGTTCCTTGGCAAAAATATTATCGAATTCTCTTACTTCCCAATTACGGAGTGAATTAACATATTAATTACCTATCTCATTCTCGTAGAATTGATACATTGCATTGATAGTCTGGGGGAACATGGGCCATCTGGAAAAAAAATTATGCAGTCTAAGCAAAAAGGGGTTATTTACATAACAGCAACCATGCGTGTGAAAGAATGTGAGATAGCAAAGCTTGAAGCGGCTTCCCTTATAACGGGCCTGCTAAACATTGTTGCTAAAATAACGGGCCTGCTAAACACTTCACGGAAGATAAAGGTCGGGTAATGACTAAAGGTCAGCAGAAATTGATATTTTTTATGATAAATTAATTCGTGGGATGATAACTCAGTGATAAGCAACAGGCAAAGAATTTATGGCTTGCGGTAAAGATTTAGGAATATATTCCTAGCTCTAAGGTTGTCTTTTAGAACATAGGGTCGCCATATCCACAGCTTTATCGAGGATAAAGACCTGGTTACAGTTTGGTTTCTCGGGGTTGCAAAGCTACTAGGAAGGAGAAAACGGGCTATGGACGACGCAGAGGAAAGGCTATTAACGGATTCCTCCGCAGCATACTCCGTTGCTTGTATTCCCCTGTCTTAAGACAGATTGTCATTCAAGCTCAGGTATCGCAGCAAAGGAGAAAGTTGAATTTTGTGCGTGCTCAGAAGTACGTTTATTCAGTCGCAGGACCAGAGCGAGTCGAGGAAAAACCAGGCTTTTGTGGTATTTAGGGCCAGGAAGGCACTGCCCGTTAAAGCTTAACTGCCCAGCGTTCAAAACTATGTCCTGAGTACCTGTAGGCCCGCTTTGTTAAAATAAAGTTTGAAAAAAGCTCTTTTCTAATCTACAATCCCGGACAAAATTGTTGAGACAAAATGCAAATTCTGCAATTTTCTAATTCATGTCGCCCCTATAAATTCGAATCCCCCTCTTTCTCCCCGAATCAATGTTGGATTTGTAGTTCTATCATTTCTCCTCTAAAATCATGCAGTCAACATTGAATTGGGGGAGGGGGAGTTATTTTTGAAAGGAAAGTGTAAATATAAGCTTTCGTTGAAAAGTCTCAACCATTTTTGTCCGATTGTAGGTTACTTACTTGGACTTATCAACTGGCTTACGCAGCTTTCCAAACAGCCGGGTCCTGATCCACTTGTCAACGTTCAAATTATTCACGAAAAAGTCATCACCAATGTCCAGCTGAATACATTACAAGAAGGAGAGCATTGCTTATAAAACGTAATTAATGCTTTTCTAATTTTACAAAGACAGAACACGCTTGATATCTATTCAAGTACCTAACAGAATAAAACGAATGCAATGCTTTCCTAGGGGAGTCAATCGAAGGTTTTAGATACGGGGAGGTCCATCCGCAATTATCGAAATTCACTTACAAGCATCAAAAACAAATTTTATAGACCCAGAATTATCAGCAAAAAGTGTCGATAAGACCCGAACATATCAAAATACAAGATCTTGCTTAACGCTCATAAAAGACCACTAGTAATAGTAATTCAGACTGTTTCCCAAAGTTTAAAAACATATGCTCTTTCGTTTCTGTTTTTGACATTGTTATGTGTTATTCTGTCCCATAAGTATCAAAGAAGTATATCATTATCAGATCGCAAGGAAAATTTTAGGCCATAATTATCAGATCGATATAAAATTTTCAAGTGTCCCCCCTGGGTATGTTTAATGAATAAAAATAAACACTTTGATGAGTAAAAGTATTGCAGATTTAGAAAAATGTTTGAAAGTTGGCATCTTGGAAAAAAATTCCCTGTTACCAATAGAAAGGGGAACATGCTACATATCGTGTACAGGATTTAACCATGTTTGTGTACTTAAGAAGCATTTCATCTGCGTATAATGATACGATGAACACATTACGAGAAAATGACGATAAATTTCTCCTCGCCAGTTACAAAAATAGTTAACTGAAATGCAACCATAAAATTCAGATTAAGCAATGTTTGCAAAGCTCATGCGACTTTTGATCTTAACGAATTTACCTTCTTAAATCTTTTGTTAAGCTCATCAGGTTGAAGAATATATGTAGCGTAACCCACTTTGGCCACCAGTGCGTCAGTCTAAAAAATCAGATACAAAATTTCAAAAAGGATAAAAAGACGATTCACTTCTAAACAAAGAGCTGGTTAAAAATCTTGCAGTAAAAGCCAAACAATTTTCCATTGCAAAGAATAAAAAATATTAATTGTAAATATCACTAAATTTGCAAAGGTTGATAAACATCACAGAAATATCCAAACACGTGGTTTTAAATTTTTGTAAAACCTCATATGCAACTTTACATTTCATTTGCACCTCTCGCCAAGATGACAAGAAATTAATTGCGATGATGTTTTCACCAAGATGACAGGAAATTAATTGCAAATACAATTTGAAACGAAATAGAAAACAGGCAAAGAAAATGGGTAGATGCGTCACAGGAGTTGATTGCAAAAGTTTCACCTTATCAAGAATTCCCTTCCTGGTCTTTCCATCAATCCAATCATGTTTCTTTATTCTCTCCTCAAACGCTTTGATTATTTCTTTTATCATTTCTTGGGTCTACACAAGATAATTTATTCATGACCAATGACAATCGATGACAATCGTATTTCATGAAAATGTGAGTAAGAAATTAACGTTTTCCATTATGTACCAAAGTATCCTTTCAGTTCATGAATAGCATAATGACTGAGAAGATTAAGATGAGACAAAACAACACTATGCAAAATGAAAATAGCACATTAGAACCTGCACTGCCTTTTGAAGAGTAAAATACTTTATTTTACTTTCCTTTTATGTCATACCTCTAGGGTTAGTGTAGACCAGAGAGTTATATGCTGATGCAAAAAAAAAGATTTAGAAATGGCTTGTCTACTGATTCGAATCAACTGAGTATTAAGATTTACGAGCATGTTTTCATATAAATACCTTAAGAAGAATAAAACAGATGGGTGAACGTTCTTAGGACGTTAAAGGCAGATTGACAGAATCAGTAAGGTTTAGCATAATAAAACAATTAGTCAGCTGCACTATTAACCTACCTCTATTTAGTATTCTGTGCATTTTGAAAGTGAAGTATTTTTACCTTTTCTCTTGTTGACTCTTTAAAGTAGTTCTGGACGTAGAGGGTTCCTATTGGGACACCCATGTTGTCATTGGTGACACCTGCACAGGTGCGCCATCTTGGGTCGTTATCTTTAACTCCGGTCATTTTCTCGTTGAAAGCAGCTCTTGCTTTTCTGAAGTCTTTTGATAGAAAACTGACTTTATCACGAAGCATTTGCCAAACAATGTATTTTGAAAGAATCCTGCGAAAAACCTTCTGTTGTCAGGAATTATCGACTATCTCATGAAGAAGTGTAACAACACTTTTTAAGCAAAACTACGACGTTGAAAATCCTTAGAAAAACATTTTGTTAATGTCATCTATCCGCCAGAAAAGGGGTACTTCAGCAACCATAGAGATATCATTCTATAATTGACTACCATACAGCCAAGATGTTGATAATAGCATTTTGGGAGAATATCAGCAAAATACATAGTTCATTGTCTCAAATTTTTGTCCTAATCTGAACTTTGTTATATACAAATAGATTGGCGCACCACTGATTTCAACTTATTAGCGATTGCAGTTAAAGTTCTCGAGCAAGCAATTCTAACTGAATGCTTTGAAAATTTCGAAAGGCCCATTTTCGAATTTGATCAAATTGTTGAGGCATTAAAAATGAAGCGGTTTCTGAATTTTTGCATATTGATATTTCCATGTAAAAAAATTATATTGGATAAGACCTGTGTGCGTGGAAAAGCAGAGAATTGAGTAAAATCGACTTAACTTTTGCTCTACCGTCTTACAAAGTGATAAATTTATGATTGTAATTGCTTAGAAACATTAAAAAACAGGGGGTTTATATTACTTTGCTGAAAAATAAACAGGGAGGAAAAGAAAGCAAGGGTGCAACATATGATTTGCCGTATCAATATTTGCCTAAACAAGTGAACGAGAATTAATACGATTATTTTTTAGATCTATTCTAATACAGCTTAGCGCTTTGCGTAGTGAACTAGACCAGGGTGATAACACGAAAATTGCAAGAAATTTTAGAGCTCGAAGGGACATGAGTCAGTGATATAAGTGGCTGAGAAAGAAAATTCTGCAACTGTGTCAGTTCCTTGAAAAACAATTACACATTTCATAATAAGGGGCGTGACAAATTCCTCACGCTGGCTTGTTCACAATGGATATTTGCTACCCTATTGCCTCTTAACGTTCAAAGCACCCCCTGCCAATGAAACTTCTCATCAAAGAAATGCAATGTAACACCAATTACCGCTTTGGCTTGCGTTTCATTTTGTCAGCAACTTGATAGAGATAAACAGGTGATGTAGCAAGAATAACCTCGGCTTTGTTTATTTTTGTCTCACTGTTGAAAATATGCTTCAGGTGGGAATACCAAGGAAACTGAAATGAAATATATATGTAACTTATAACTATAAACTTGTAGTTGTTTTCTTTAGTAGCGACTTCTAACGTGTTTTTCGAAGTTCAAAGAAAGTATGGTTTTCTTGCCGAAGAAAAGGTGGATGTATTTCTCTATCGAAATCCTAATCGTTCTGGCTGTTCGCAAGGTCTGCAAGTCAAAGCAACCATCAAAACTCTGTCTCTGATTGACTGAAGGGCATAAATGAGAACAAATACACAGCTCTGAATGGCTACACAAAATCAATCAGCCTGTCATGGGGGAAAAGTATATGCAAATTGAGTCGATTGAAAGCATGAATACCAGAGCAGCAGCCTGACAGACTAAGCGTTCCAGCCTCTTTAAATGTACGAGCGTAACTGAATTCTTCGAAGTCATCGACATCCGTATGAAAACTATTTCTTGTGGCAATCAAAAGTTCCAAAGGATTACAGTATCACAATGTTAAAGTGACGAATGATACTTATAGGAAAAGAATTCTACCCGAGAACGAATGATATGAAATTAAGAATAAAAATGAATTTACTTACATGTGGAACAATAAACGACAAAAGTTTAACATCTATCCTTCTGAAAGTGCCTGCTTGCTTGGCTTCTGCTGGAGTCGTAATCTAAGATGTTAAGATTCACTTCTTAGTTGTTAAAAAGACGTTTTTATCAAAGAGAGCATTTATTCTTCGAATATGTTCCATAATCAAAATTCAACAGCAAGGCATTGTCAACATTTGAGCGTGGATTAAATTTTTCTTATGGGATTTAAAGATGTCTCATTTGAATGTTATAATCTTCATATAAAACTTTAACGAAAGACAAGCTGAATGCAACTCCCATTGAGTTATCAATAATATCAGCAGATAGGCATGGAAAGGAAATTTCAACAATTTTGAGCATTGGAGAAAATCCTCCCAGAGCTGAAATTATATTTGCATGGAAAGCGATTGATATTGAGTCAGTTTTCCAGTATCAACGGTGAATTTTCCTTAAATTAATAATAGAAATACATTTCAAAATGTAGCTAACACAGCTTTCTTCAGGCAGGAACTTCCTAAATGAAACTCTTCCAAGTCGATAAACTTCTATCAGGAGTTCCTTGTAAAAAGATTGTCAAACATTTTGCATCACACGCTTTGACAGCTTTCGTGGTCCTGGTCTTTGATAGCTATGCGCTTTACCAATCCAGGAATACACTTGTCATGCAACTTAAACGCCATGCTACTTCTTACGGATTACTTCTAAATGGATGGAGAATTTAGGCCAAAGCCATAAATCCAAACCTTGGCCAACACTGTTTCAAAATCGATGATTTCCTGGACCTCATCTGTGACATTTGCACAGTTGTACCCAAGCAGCTTGACAATTTTCACCATGTAATCTTTATAGTCATCGACTATCTGAAAAGAAATAAAACATTCAATGAAAAATGATTGACAAAATTGCATATATCGATATTTTTGGTTTGTATCAGAGAACACATTGGGTTTGTATGATCTAAATTTGCATCGTAGTAAAACAGAATTTACCACAGGATAGAGATCTACAGTGTCATCCGATTGGGGAATACAATTTAACAAGTCTCCGCTGTCAAGTTAACATGCTAGAAATCTATAACTTCACACCTAAAAGCATCATTTTTGGAGCAATGCTCTTTCTATAAAAGCCACAAACTCAAACTCAAAAAGATTGACTTTCCTCGCACATCACACTAATATGAAAAATGTCTTTAATCTTTTTCTAGAAACCAAGTGAGTGGCCGTCCAAATATTATCCGCAATGAGTTTTCTAAGAACTCAATCAAAAACTAGTTGAAATTTACTGTATGCAGACATGCAATACCTCTCTATGTTTGACATATATCTCTCGTTGAAGGCTTAGTCCGGATTGGTCAATCTATAGAACAAAAACAAGGCCAATTATTACGCAAGTTACTGTGGTTAAGTTTCTATATAAACATAATATTAGCGACAGGTATCATCAGAACGTAGATACAACGTACTTAGCGTAGTCTGTGTTCCAGTCCCCTAACTTGAAATTATACCGCAAATTCTAAATAAGAATGCTAGAGCACAGGCTAATTTAACCAGGCTTTAAAAATGTAATTCGGAGTAAATGCTGACACTTAAGAAGACAAAAACAGATTTACAAGCTTCTATCATTCACTTACACCACTACATTTTATGATTTCAATTGAATTTTCAGTTTACCGATCGATGTTTTACTTGACATAGCATACAATGTAATCATAGAATGTAAAGTGTGAATGAAATTCTAACCAAAAGCAGTGATAAGGTTTAAATCCATAACCACCTGCAGAAATATTGGCATACCAACAATGAAGCGTAGGGGCGTACACAGCATCTAACTGAAAGGGGGGATGTGCAACATCCGTATAAAATTGCCGCTCACTCTATCACCCCCCCCCCCTCTAGCTTGATGACATTTCTCAAAATTATGAAGGTCCTAAGACCTTATGATTTCACATCAACTAAGATGTGCAGTATGTTCCCAAACTCGCAAAACCATTTGGGTGCTTCATAGAATTTTCAGGAAAATTAATTCCAAGGCAGAATTCAAGATGACTACAGAACAGGCTGGTTCTACGCTTTTTTACTTAAACCTACTTAAACTCATAAATGATGGAAATATTTTAGGTGGTAGATCATTTCCTTACGATTTGATAAAAAGATTTTACGATGACATAAAAACCCTTCTGTTTTAGACTGTTTGCCTTTTCAAAGCTATTTTTGAGATACATTTTTCTAAGCAAAAGATACAAGTAAGCTTCTTCTAGACAAAAACTGCCTTGAACTCCCTTTAAATGCTTAGAATATCATTTACTTACCTTTATCAAATGTTTTGTTGAATTCAAATGATCATTTGTTACTTCAACTGTGAAAAATGGTGGGGCTGGGTAGTAACGGCTTTGCACCTTTTTAAGCACATCATAAACATCCCATTTATCCTCATCCCATTCCTTGTTTCCGCACATACTCCACCCGCCAATACTCTCAAGAAAATCAAGTGCAGGCTTAGGACCTTTCTTCTCGATCTTCTCTTTGTCCATGCATGAGTAATAAAATTTTCTTGCCTTGGTGAGAGCGTCACTCTCCCCAGGCTGGCTTGGCTGAGTCAGAAGCAAGTGAGTGGCATTTTCTATCTTCTTCGTAAGTTTTGTAAAAGCCGTGATTTCATTCTCACTTTCGGGAATCTCGTTTCTGCCCTTCCATCCACCACATGCGAATTCGTAGAAATCCTGGCAGGGATTCACCGTCTCATTCATAGATGATTTTACGTACTTTGCAACCGTTTTGCACTCTGGTGATTCACATAATGCGGTACTTGTATCTTTCCCGATTCCCTCTGCATAATTCTTCTCTTTCTCCAAATCCCCCTCCTGCTTCATTCCCCTATTTTCCTTGGCAACCTTTTTGGCATTGGCTACGATGCTCTCATAAAACGCCAGCGCTTTATTCACCCCTCCATCAATAGAATCTATATTTGTGTGAGAACCAGCTCCATTTATGGTACTACTATCTACATTGTTCTGCTTTGCAATTTGTTCGTTATTAGTCGTCACTGCATTGCTTTGCGCTGCCACATTCTGCACTGCGTTACCCTGCACTGCGTTCTTAGACAAATCTTTATTACCCGAGACACCTAAAGGCTCTAGCTTCTGGCTAACTGTATCTCCAGGCCTGTTTGCCGTACGATAGTTCGCAAAAGCATAAGAAATTGAATTGTCATGCTTGTCAGCTAGAGATTTCTTTGACGGATTAGAGTCCTCTTTCTCGTCAACGATTGTCTCATGACTGTCCGGCTTTAGTAGAGTTGGATCCACATCTGTGATGGCTTTTGCCCGAAAAACGACTACCGTTGATATAATAAATACATACAGCCATAGTCTTGCAGCGGGTGGAGCCATGTTTCTCTTTAGGCTCCTATAGAGTATTGATGCAAAGAATCAGGCATAACGAGTCTCGTCGTACCATGCCGGCATGAAGCCTGGGAAAGACGCTTGTTACGCTTCAGTGATCTTGTGGTCATTCCTAATCTGGAACACAAACAACAAAATTTTGCGAACAATAGGCCTACAGGTGGAAGCCTTGTTAATTGGATCTTAAAAGTTGATCTTTACCCTCTTTCAATGCAGTATTATGCACAGGTGCTACCTAAAAGCCGCAACAAATTCAATCTTAGGAAGATTAAGGCCCCGGCAGGGTCAAAGGCGCTATGGTTGGCGTGGCTTGAAAGATAGTTAGGCATAATATACAAGTCGGTAGACGAAACTGGTTGTTCGCACTCCAAATATGGAATCACATGCTAACACAATGCAAACAAAATCAGCTCACGTTCACATAGGCAAATCGCAGTGTATAATGTTTCATCAACTTTGATTTTTAAATGGCTAATCCAAAAGCCATTACACAAAGATACAGTAATGGCTTTTAAAAACGGAGAAGTACCCGGCAACTTATCTGTATTGAAAAACAGTCACAGTTGCAGAATGCATATAAATATATACATATCTATATATATATATCCTTCTTTAAGATACCAAGCGACGTCTACTCAAACCATACGTGCCTAATTTATGCAAGTTCAACTGCAACTACTAAATTGTAGGCAATTGTAAAAGAAGACTACCTAAAGCTTATTTTCATCAAAAGATTTTTTTTCGGTACTACCCGAACCTTGATGCTTCTCGCTAACATAATTCACAACAAAAGATACTGGAATTGAATCGATTATTCCAAAGGCAATCACAGAGCCAACGGTTTTGCAACTTCTTTGTGCAGGCATAAAAATTGACCACACGACTTAGTATATGTCGATTACCTTCAGTAGCTGCTCATAAGGCTAAGTGATTTATATCAGTCAAGATACCAATTTGAGTTTTAAGTATCAAGTTGATTAATCAGGAAATCACCATCTAGTAATTTGAAAATGTTCGTCATTTGCAAACATGTTAGAACGCAAGCAAATGGCATTCGACAACGCTGAATAGGTATTCATATTCAGTCTACAGACTGCCTAGTTCACTGTCTGTACTCATAATGGCTACATGCTGGTGATCACTAAACTGATGACGCTGCTCTCTACAGTATAAGATAAAAGACATTAGAAAATAACAGACGGACTTTTGACAAAACGATTTATTTTGCAATGTAGTTTGACTTTATGCTACTACGGGTGAAATCTGTCAAAACCAAATTCATTCATATAGTTTGCAATTACGTCACAGAAAACAATTTCATGAACGATACGTAGAAAATTTTAATATATGACTGCATGAATTACACTGAAAGAAGTGAGTCTTTGGGGCCCAATTTCTATGCAACACTGCTACTTAACCGATTCTAGACTGCATTACTTCTAGATATGGCAACCGCTGAAAATATGATGCAGGGAAGCATATGTTTTTTCCACTATCCTCATTGACTATCAGATAACAATACTTGCCTAAAAAAATATTGCGTAAACTAACACCAAAAACTTTACTCTTTGGAAGTAACAGGTTTACAGTAACTGTGCTTTAGGGTAATCAAAGTTTCCCTTTGCTGCATAAAATCTTTTCTTATAACATAACTTTTACTTAAATATAACAAGCTGACAAAAACTAAGGCATTTTCTATTACTATATTTTCAAAAGGGAATATGGATAGATGGCAAACCTACGATAATTCCTACGAAGAGGCAACAATTTACAGTCTAAGCTCGAATAAAGGACTTATTTTTACCAGATCTCTTGCGTTCAGAGACTATGGTTGGCAGCTCTTGGGGACAACTCTCTTTTAAAATCGGGACAATAAGTTGGGACTTCGAAGCAAAAATTTAATGAAGCAGTAAACTAAAACACTACGATGAATTCTCTCGAAAATCTCGCTCTAAGCGATTGGTGAAACTGCAATGAAAGGCAGCTCTTTTTTTCTTCCATTGGTATGCTACTACTTTACCAAAACAGTGGAACTTTTATTTAATTCTTAGCCTCTTGGATCCGCAACGTACAATTTTATTCCCAGGAGCTAAAATATAGCTACCTAATTTAGAAGATTTCTTATTTCTTTATGTATATGGCATAAAAAGTCGACATAGCTCAATTGTTGTGCATGGAACCCTTTATCTTCAACCAGGTAGTGCTTTAGCCAGGGCTCTAGCTTATCACGCTGTCGAACGATACTCAGCTGGAAAGAGAAATAAGTGCACGTTAGAACCTTCAAAACAAAATTTCCATTGATATATGTAAACGACTCTACTGCTAAGCTTCAGTTCAAAACATTGTATAAACACATTTTTTCTAAGTATAAACACATTGTATAAACACATACCTTCATAAGAACTGTTAATAATTGCTCAAAATTATTCAAAAAAAAATTAAATGAAGCTATACGGTTTTTGAGCTATCTAAAGTTTTTATCAGAGATTGAACTCCATCCATTGAATTTTATAATATTAATTTAAAACAGCAATGATTTTCATAAATAATTGCTCGACTCTTGACGAAATTTTAGTTTCATACAAATACTGGTATACTATAAATACTTGTGTTTTTATATGGAATGTTGTCAGTTAAGAATGATTTAAGAATATGTTTGGTCTCAATATCGATAATAGTTAAGAATATCGAAGCATAGAACATCGAGACCCAATTCGTACACATTTGGGCACTGGAATGTGGTGTGTTGATAAAAAGCATCAGCTAGCAACTTTCTTAGGCCTGCATGGAACACAATGGACGACGAACGTGAGTTTTTCTACTTACCTTAAGGAATCTCTGTCTTTCTGACTGTATCTGGGTAATAACTGCCCGCACACGTTTTGAAAGTGGAGTGTCTAGCACTGGCAGCTGTGTCTAAGATGAAACAATATATCGCTACAAAAACTTTGCCTTATTTCATTTTTCTGAAGTCATCAGCTAGCAACTTAGGCCATTTTTGTTCAAGATAGAACACGACGAAACTGATGGAAGAATGCCTTGCTATAAATTGCTTTACAAACAGTGTTTTCCAATCAACATTAAGATGGAAGTCAATTTTTATATCCAATTATGGAAAAGCATCTTGCTACAGAAAATAACTTGTTTTACAGGCAATACTTTATAAACAATATTATTCATTAACTTTTATATTTAATTTCATTCTTGCACCCTTAAGAGTTTTAAACTGGAGAAAATGTTTGTTTAGTAAATGCAGTTGGCTTACCATTTCAATATCAACTTGGCCGATTGTGTTTGCATTGAACAATGACTGGAGTATGTCTGAGCTAGCTTGTAAACCAACCCAAATAAACATCGAAATACCGTTTTCTGTCAAAAAAATTGCATTGGAAGTTACAAAACAGCTAGTTACACGAAACAGCAACAGAAGAATCTTTTTTGAAAAACAGTCAAAGTTCCAAGAATTTTTCTTTGCTACAACTTCTTATGATCAATCTTTTAAACATGTTAGGTATACAGCTTAATCATGAACTTTTTATTAACATGAAACAATGAAAAACCTTCTTGCAACATACGTTTGGAACACTTTTTGAATTTTTGAGTACTTGAACCTTTTTGCAAAAATCTCATCCTTGCATATTTTTATAAAGAAATCATCACTACAGCATATGATCATACCTGTTTCTTTTTGCATGCCAAATTCTTTATAACATAGGATTTTCAATAAAATCATTTAAGGTGCTGGTCAAATACAATCAATTAGAGTTATGTTATTTACCTAGAAGATAGACTCCGTTGTCTTCCATTCGCTCAATTGAACATCGAAGTATGTCTGGAACAAGCTCTGCATCGTGGTCCAGATCAATATTATGCTGAGACAAAACAAATACATTTGATGAGGAAAAAGATTCAAACTGTGGAGTTTTCATTACCAAAGTTGTATAAGACTACTTCTTAAATATGGGTAATTAGAAATTTAAGTAAGTCAAGGAAGGTTTGAAAAAACAGAATACCAAATGAATATTATGCCATATATTTTTTATCAAATGCCAATGTCTGCCGAACAAAACTGTCAATTCATAATGTGGCCGCAAAGCGCACGCTCAAACTGTTAGCTGTGATTAAACAGCAATATATTTTGAGTAATCTAGAATATGCCAAAAAGATAAGGGTAAAGCGTAAAAAGTAGTTACGAAAGTCTTGTTGCAGCATTGAAATAAACAGCAAAAAAACTAAACTAAGCGTAAGCATAAAAAACAGTCCAAACTTTTAAATTCAACGAAAAGAAGACAGAATCACTTAATGTTTTTGGAGCTCCCTCCTTTTGTGCAATAGGGGTCAAACTTACCAGTGGATAGAGACGGGGGTACAAATAAAGAACAGATGCCTCCAGGTTCATAGACAAAGCAGCTTGCATCAAAAATGCTCTATCATCTGAACTCATTTCGGAACCTGAAAGTGATAAGATGAGTCAATTTGAATGAACAAGTATGATATAGCTACCGTTACCCCTTTCGGGAGCATAATGGCATGTATGCTTAAAGAGGTGGAAAACAGGAGAATAAGAAAAACTGCGAATTCCACTTGCATTGGCTATGATTTTTTGGATTCAACTCAATCTTTCTATAGCAATCTTCAGATTTTGATAAAATCGAAATAACCAATGGAAGTATGCTGTTTAATAATGAATTTCGTGACTTCTAGGCAAACACTAAATGAGACACATAATAAGAGCACAAAAGTTACATCAATCAATGATGAAAAGGTGCATTCACGTGCAAAACGAAGAATCAAATTCATGACGTAATCAATTGATTAATATAAGAGAGTTTTACAAACCTCCAGCAAGAACATCTGACTTGATCAAGCTGTTTAAGTAAAGCGGAAGTAGTTTCATGCATTCTGGCAAAATCAGTTGGCCGGATGTAGATGGAGTTGCACAATGTTGTCTGTAGCAAGACAGCATGTGGGCACATCTCTGAATAACAGTATCCTTGATGGTTTGTGGGTTGGAGTTCAGTATTTGCCTTAGAGCTAGAGAAAATCCATTGCATATTAAAGTCACCAGGTTAAGGCTAATATGCAATTACGTCTAGCATGCAAACAAAAAATGAAATAAATACTTAATACTTAATACGAAAACGTGAAAGTTACGTAGCGAATTTGTCAGAGAAAGGAAAACTTTAAACATTATATAACCCTACCACCTGCTGAAAAAAGAAGCATACATTTTAGTGAGGTACCTCTTATTTGCAATACCATTCAACTTTTGCTCAGTTCGATATCTTGGTTCAAATTATTCTGTTTGACTTATGACACAGTGCCAGCTAAGTTGTTCTTGTTAATGCGTCCCCGGGTTCAATTGATATACTCTAGTTTACTGTCAAGCGGCTTCTTTAACAGGAGTACACTTGCATGATCAAGGGGAAGAGAGTGGGGCCTAGTGTTGAGAGAGAGGCTGAAAGGAAGAGCGAGGCTGAGTAAGGTTTCTACAATACTAAAATCAACCTTGACTACTCACAATGTTTGATGAGGAAATTCATCAATGCATCCAATTCACAGCAGCGGTAAAGATCAGATAACTGCGAGCAGCAATTGAATGCAAGATTGTGTATCCTCAACCTTCTTTGTCCAGAAACACTTGTATACAGCAAAGCACACTGCATAAACGCGACACCGTCTTCGGGTATCTTGTCATCGTGTTTGATTTCTATGGCAATTGCCTATTCAAGAAAAAGGAACGGCTTAGCATAACATAAATGTCTTATAGAAATTTTATCGAACAACAATTCAATGCATTTTCAACCTTGCGAATTACCTTACACTTTGGTCAAAAAATAATGAAACAAATAATAGGGCAATAATACCGCAAAAAGGCCATTGTCTTACTGGGTTATGATTGTCCCAAGGTAAAATAATTTAGCTTATATAAAGAAAACTGATTTTTGTACAAGCCCTTCCAAAGTTGAGCTAACAAGATGTCAGTTTGAATCATACAGAGTGATCGTTGACAATCTCTGTGTTTTTGTTAATGTTTATGCGGCTAATACTTAAGTGCAAAATGGGCAGGTGTATATATTTCTTCAGTACTTTTTGCTCGTTTCTAGAATATAAGTGAGAAGCCTGAGGCTAAATATGGCTCAAAAAGATAGTTTATACAAAAGTTGTCAACGAGTTAAAGGCAACTTCTGAAAGACGCTCAAAAAGCACATTCATTATAGAATAAACAAACCTTTTCAGAGTCAATGGCGCCGAGTTCAACATCGGTCGTGTTATTCATAACAAAACTGCCATAGAAATCGACTGGTCGTAGGCCTAAAAGTGAACATTGAAAAAATAAGCAATCAACGCCTCCCCTTAGTAATGAGAAAAACCAAAATCTATGGTTAGCATGCCAGTCTTTTGACTATTTAACATCGAAAACCTGTTATAAGAAAGTATTTAACGGCGAAATAAATAAAGACTATGAAATCCCCTACTTACTATTTATTCATGATAACTTTGGTTTTAAGAAATAATCGCAATCATAGAAAATTTCTCAATCATACAGCTCTTGATAGTGAGGTAACATTGATAAGCTCCAACAATTAGTATTTTTATCAAGATGGGGTTTTTCACAAAGATGTTTAGATTTTTCATTGAATAATAAGTGAGGCCTCTTTGCAATTTCCACAAACAAACAGAAAAATATAGGGCTTCGCAACTTCCTTTTAAAGTTATAAAATTTCTATCGAACTACTTACCCGTACTACAACGCAGCCTCATAATTGCATCAAACCCTATATCTCTTTCTAAGTTCTTTTTCAGATCCTCAATGAATTGTTTTCCGTGTGTTGCATCCTACAATTAGTAAGAATGATTACAGACTAAAACACATCAAAGCAGAAACTGGCAGTCAAAAGACTGCAAAATTTCTAATTTCGGTATTCATTGCTTCCTTTTAACAGTATGGCGAAACACAAATGAATAAGAAATATCAGTTCACATCACTCAATACAGCAGCATAATATCATTCCCATAATCCATTTAACCACGACAAAAGGTTAGATTAACTAGATATAGGCACCCGAACTGGAGATTATAGGTTACATGGTGATAAAGACCTATAAAATGACAACTATAGTAACAAAACAGGAATTCTATAGCGCCAAATATCCCCCGGGCCAATAGTAACGGCATTACTAGATAACTTGCATTAGAAACCGAAATTTAGAAAATAATCGACACAAGATAAAGTAAAAAATTACTTTATACTTTAAAATAGCCACGCTTAAATCCAAAAGTTAAATTTAAAAGAGACTTTGATTTAAAAGATTTTATATCCTGGAAGAGACAAGATACCTATCTAACATTTTACGTACCTTGAAATACGAATATCGATATATTTGTCCACCAGTTTGAGTTGCCAACAAACCAATTGTAGCAACATCAACATAGGAATTTGGGAAGAGGAAGAGGTCGACTGACACTCCATTAGAAACGCAGTCCTTTGCTAGGTTGGTGTAAAATTGACTCTGGGGTGCAAGTATGGTCTGAAGGGTGAAGAAATAAAAATATCAAACATTAAAAACGTAATAAAAATGAATTTAAACTTCCCTTGAAGGCACTTTAGCAGTCGTCAGATTTCGGTCATCAATTATAATTCCGAATGATCTATTGCTAAACATGCATATGTCTGCTTTAACCGACTCGGTGCCTTTTATACATTAGAACGATTTTCGTGCAATAAAATCAAATGATCTTGCAGTGAAGAGTTCGCAATCACTTAATGTGAGCTGACATCGTTGTTGCCGCAGCATGTGTTTTAGTGCATTGAAACTTCACAAAAAAATTCGAAATTTTTACATCGATGAGTTGTACCTTTTCTTTATCAGTTCCAAGAAGTTTTCGGTCCTCTCTGTTTCTCAGTTTTCCAGGTGCCTCCATGATAGGTAGTGATGTGTGGAAAATGAAAACTTTTCCTGATATATTGGCAGCCTGTTGAAAAAGGTGAAAGTCAAAACAAATTCATTCCTCAGTTCTTTGATACGCATAGCCATTGTATTTGTTCAGCATTAGAGCTTTAAACCGATACTGGGTATACAGCCATAAAATTTAGAAGCTTGAAAGATCAAGTGATATACCTTGAGGGCCTCCATTCCTGCTTGGACAACCGGTCCTAATATGACGTCAGTCTCCCGAGTTTCACTGAACAAGTCCGGTATCATATCCAGTAAGCTGGAGAAGAATAAATATGGGAATAGAAATAGTGAAAAAGGAAAGAAAAAGGATTCTTATAATCAAAAAGTAGAGGCATGTACGATAAAAACTTTGGGAACTCATTAGTAACAAAGAAGACACACAAAAAACTGGCTAATAATGAACTTGTCTTTAATTGCCAGAAGGTAATTACGCTTATCAAAATAAACTGACATTACAAAGAGGTTGATACATGGAAAAATTAAATAAATGTGAACAAATTGTTCGCGAAAGCGTTTGAATGAAAGTAATTGCCTGAAGTAATGAAAATTTCAAAAAAATCATTATATAACCAGAAATTCAAGGGTAATGAAAACTAGCAATATTTGTCCATAGAAACATTTACGTTCATCTCAAATTATTAAAATTTCTGTGAATAAAAGTAATCTAATTGATGGCATATTAGATAGCTTCGTTTGTTAGAATAGAACTAGATAGGTCTGCTAAGTAGCAACTCGGCGCTTTACTTCACGCTTAGTGCAATCGCCATACAACTATGTTATCACCTTAACATATAAGTGCAGTTATTAGGCAACCATATTCTGTTAGGTTTTAAACAACTTTGGAAGGGACTTAAAATTTGTTAGCTACTTGTTTTGCATTGGTCGTACGGATCTGGATAAGCATATTCTACAAATACCAGCGCAAGTCATAATGAAACGCTGATTTAAACTACTGCTTCACTTACCTATCAACGATAACTTTTGCCTTTTTTACGTCGACTAAAAATCCATCAACAAGTGGGACAAATACGTCATTGATATCAGAGACTACCATCATTTGTGGTTGGGCCAGGTTGTCCTAAAGACAAGGCAAAAGATTTTACGCAACGATACTGAGAAGCAGCTAGCAAGCGGCATGGAAGATATATGACGTAATGAAGGTCACTCAGCTACAATAAACCTTATATAAGTGATCAAAGGCAAACTGCAAAAAAGCAAACATTTTAAAGTGAGCTAGTATTATTGAAGACCAAAGCCATTTAATAGAACACCTATCACGTATGGATTGATTTATCAAGTTTACTTGTCAATTTTTACTTATAGAAACAAACTTAAATACAGCAATACATATGCATGTCGAGATGCATTTCTAGATACATATGCAGAGGTACTAAATACCAGGTATATAGAGTTATGTCATACGAACATGCAAATGAGTTCTTATTCTCCCCTCATTACAAGATGATTCTATAAAAATGAGGCAGCTAAAAACTTGCAATTTTTTTGTGTCTGGATAAAAACGGTGTTGGCAACTTTCTTAAATCCTTGGAACAGACATCCATAGCCTACATGAAAATTTGAAACTGAGGAAATAACTAAATAAAATAACAAGAAATTATAGAAAGATAGAGAAATAACAATTGATGACAAACCTTGACATTGTAAAAATGCAGACTACTACTGTATGTTACAAAGCCGACTTTGATGAGACTCTCTTCCATGCCAGTCTCTTTTGGGAGGTTATCCAATATGGTATGAAGTTCTTTCGTCAATCTCTTGACCATTCCACACTGGATGCTTTGATATGACACGTCAATCATAAAGATAAAAGCAGGAGGTGAGGGAAATTTTTCATCCTGTGAAAAGAAACAGCAAGATGTTTAGGTAAACAATTAAAAACAATATTCTAAGAAAAATTCTACTCAATTGTAAATTAATAGGGAATAAAGGCTATATTAGATAAAAAAGTATAACTATAGAAATGGAATGTAATGGTCAGAATAAGTTTTTAGAAAGACCAAATAGTGTAAGACCTAGATAAGTAAAAAATCAAGGAATGAATAACTATTTAAGGGAACAAAGAATGAGTACGATATGAAATATGAATAAAGAAATTTATAAGTAAGAGACATTAAGTAACAGTAAATAATCTCGGTGTAAAAATTTTGCTTAAAACAGCACACGAGAGGATGGTACTTGTGGCAAAATATATTCGCATCTAATATATAAAGAAAAATTGCTAAATACCTTGCAATAATCTGTTGTTGCAACGAATTCGTAGGAGCCAAAGCAAAGTTCTGCTCTTTCGTAGACATCTACTCGTCTTCCTTGGTGATCCAAATGACAGAAATATTCTTGAGGAACTGTAACAAGAAGTTAAGTATAAGAGAAACTTGATCTTAATACCAAGATAAATTGTCAATTTCGACGTTGTTTACCTAAATGCGGCAGGTTTTCTCCAGTTATAGAAATGTAAGATGCATCGGATCCAACTAAAGAAAAAACGGTCTAGGAAACAAGACAGTAGATGTGTCGAGAGAAACAAACTTCGAAGGAGGCCTCTTAGCACAAAAATGTGCGGAGAAGACAGATAGGATTAATGCAACAGTTTTATTACGCAAAAGTCATCTCAAATCTTTTCGACGTACTTGACTTAGTTTTTACAAACCTTCGGATGAATGGCTGCAGATGTTACAGACAAATCTTCTGCCACCATCAATAAATTGCATAAAAGGATTCATGTAGGCCTTGCACCGGTTGCATCTGACGGGGCCACTGGGCCCATTGTCAACAAGGTAGAGTTTGTTCTAGAAAGTAATAAGCGCCGTTACAAGCAAAGGTTACGAGAACTTTGCGTATGCCTGCATTGGTGCGAATGTTCTTAAAAAAATGTTGCCAAGAATGAACAATGTTTACGTGCACTAAAAGCATTAAGGTGAATCTATACAACAACTTATCAAAGGTATTTCTTTTCAAGATTTAGTCAGAAAAACCCTTGCACAAATTATGGAATCTTTAAAATGGGCTCTACAGCCCAAATTGTCAACCATTTTTAAAACCTTTATCTAATGGAATTGACCGTCAATTTGCTTTTACCAATTTTGCATTGCATACAGGTAATAAAAACATATTCTTATTCATCGTTTTCCTTTCTTCCTCAGCCTACCTAAAACTTCATGCCATGCCATTAATTGTGGAATTTTGCAAAAATAGGTTTTGTCATACTATACACAGCATAAACTATCTACTAATCAATGAATATTGACACATTTTTGGCTGGAGAAGGCTCGATTCTGAGTGAAAGTCTCCTAATGGCCAGATAAAGTGTAAAAAAAGAACAAATTGTAAAAACCCTTATATACCTCGTCTTCGGGTAGCTTTGCAAAAGGTGTGGAAATTATGGCTAAAGGTATCTGGCTCTCTTTTAACATGTCTTGGTTGCAAGGGACATTGTACATTGTTGACCTCATGAAGCGTGGACTGCAGTTTCCTGAAATTTCACAAATTTACTACCATTAAGAGAACCGTTTACATTAACATAATTCAAAATAAAAACAAACACAAAAAGTAGATGTTGTGCAAACAAGAGCAGAATAATTTTTATGCAAACGGATTCAGAATAAATGCAGGGAAAACGATTAACAGAAACAATACAGCTAAATTTTGAATACAAAAGCAAATGTACCATCATCCTGGACTTTACATTTTGTTGACACGAGGGGTGGCAACTTTCCACGCATGCTAGTTTGAAATAACCCTTTTTGCCACTGATCTTGGTCATCACTCATAACTTGGATCTGAAGGAAAAAGATCTGACTTTAACAATTCTGACATTAAAACGTATTTTCGTATATACTATTAAATAAATTTTGATCATATGACGGGTTAAGAGGCATGCAATGCAAAATACTGTTTATCTTTAAGAACCAAAATAAATATTAATTAGAATGGGATTATATTATCTACAATAAAGGAACATACTGGATTGGGCATCTGATCTGGATCTATTCTCTTTGGAGGCTGTTGCATGGGTGAACTTATTGGCCCAGCCCCATGTCCAGGCTGCCCTGGTACACCTGGCATACCACCTGGGCCAGATGGTGGCCGTTGCATCGGGCCTGCACCAGGAACTGGTGCAGAAAACTGTGAGCTAGGGTACATTCGTTGTGAAGTGGCAGGTGGTTGGCCTCCTATCATTGGACCTGCAAAATGAAGTGGTAGTCTAAGCTTATAGCCATTTAAAAACTGCAAGTTAGCATTCTAAAATAAAGCTTTCCTCTCAAAACCTTTTCCACAGCAAGTAGTATCTTGTGGCTGTATCTGAAAAGGTGCCTAGGTAGAAGGTAAATTTTATGAGCAACAATAGTTTGTTATAAAATTTCCCTTTTGAGAGCTATCCTTTATTTCAAAGAGGCACTAGCGCAAATCTTTCATCCCAAGATTTCAAAGATAATTTATGAGCCACGGGTTGGCGGCTCATTGTACCCAAAAAAGCTTTCATTTGTCTGTACTTGTTGTAGAAGTAAAGTTTCGAGACTTTGAAAATTGGGATACATATTTTTGATATCCTACTTCTTTTCTGGTCTGTTGCGAAAAACAAAAGGTTTGACGTCATCTAGCAGCTGATTCAATCGGTGGCTGTTGTTTCTTTTCTTTTGCTTTTAAAGGTAGATAGAGGATGGGATGGACCGTTTTAGTAGAGGTGGAAGGAAAATAAATGTATTCGGTGTTTCTCGTCGGTATAAACGGGCAAATCTTGTTGCTATGTTATGACACACTCGCATACTCACACTATTTCTCGCACCATGGCTTTCACCAGAATCATACCCCCATATTTCTGCCCCGTTTCGTTTGACACAAAAATTTTGTTCCCACTAAGTACAAAATATCTACTTAGACCTACCTCCATGCATGCGGGAAATCACTTAATGATTACAATTTTTGCATTAGTGCCTCTTTAAATGCTAAAAATAACCTAACAATCCAAATTTAACTACTGATTTTCAGAGCAAAAAAAATATTTATAAAGAAGTTCACTTTCAAAATGAAGCTAGTTTTTACTCAGCTTATTACACATTGAAAAGTGATAAAAGCTTGTCATAATTAGATATTGTACACTACCTTGTCCTTGAAATTGTTGTCCTGGTTGGTATGGCCCTGGAGCTTGTCCCCTTCCAGAGTCAACAGTTGGTGGCTGACTTGAAACTGGAGGTCCAGACAGACTACTTGAGGACAACATTGGATTTTGTTCATTTTGGCTTGAAAAGGGTTGCCTCATCATATTTGTTGGACCAGGTGGACCACTAAACTGGCTTGTCTATAGAAAATATTAAGAATTTACTTTGAAAGAGATGAATGAACAGGACAAACTGTGCCAATTAGCTCTTTGTGGTAATTGTGTTTATTTTCTGTCAAACATGAATTATATAAAAAAATCAATCAAATTATGACAACCTTAATGACAAGAACAAATATGTTAACAGAATAAACAATTATTCATCAAATCAGCCAGCATTTGGGACACCTCTATATACAAGAAAGGAACAGGCCCAAATAGACAAGAAATTTTGAAACAAGGGGGGTGATATGTAGATATTTGGGAAATATTCACATAAAGAGCCTTGGAAATATTGATGAAACAAGCCAAAGAAGATACAAAAAAATACGATCAAACCTTAGGGGCCAAGATGACTCAAAAACCCACAGCTTAGTGTAGACAGGGTTTTGAATTAAACAGGGGACTTATGCCTAGTCCAAAATTTGAGGATGGCTTAAGAAAATGGTTGGATTGTTTATCAATAAATAACAAAGTTACAGGATTGTTGAAAATGATTGTTAAGAAATTTCAAGTTCTGACATTGCAGTTGAACTGTTTTGAAGATGTCACAAGGAGGTTGAGTTAAGAAGAAGAGGGGTCTTCAAAAATGAAAAAAATAAGGGGAAGGCATTCATATCTAAGAGTAACTTGGATATCAGTTTGACTTAGCAAATGTTTCAGTTATTAGAGGGTTAGAGTTATTGAGAGTTTACTGTGTACTTTCAGTAATATACAAAAACAAACAAAATTGCACTTTAAACCTGGTTCTTTCCAGGAAACTTCTTTAAACTCTTGATTTGACACATTTAAAGGCAGTTTTCAGAATTCCATAATCATTACATACCCTTCAGTCTACACTTTGAGTAAAGCAGTTTTCAACAAGCAGGTTTTCATGTGTTAAAAAATTTTTTTGCTCAGTTCAACTGACTCTATTAGTGTTATGTCACCTTGAAACAACACTTAACCAGAGCCAAGGGTTAAATATCAACATGATACTAAACTATGACAAATCATACCATTGGATAGGATGTGGGAGGCTGTTGACCTGGCATCCCTGGATGATTTCCACCCATGTTTCCAGGTGGTCTTGAGAATTGTCCTAAAGGAAGACCAGATGGAGGACCAGAAGATAGACCAGATGATGGGCCAGATGATGGGCCAGAGAGAGGGCCAGGTGGTCTAGATGGTGGGCCAGATGGCTGCCTAGGCGGTGGCCCTGAATGTGGTCCAGGGGCTGTTCCTGGTGGACCTGCCATCCTTGGTCTCATAAAATTACCAGCTGAATTAGGAATTGGTCCTGCTGTACTAAATCCAGGAGCAAAGTTTTGTGGCATGCCACCTTTTTGAGCATCAAATGGGGCTGGCTGACTGGCAGGTGGTGTCTATGAAAAAAAATTGTGGACATCTCAACTTGATATCAGTGAAAACTGAATCTACAACAATTGGTAGTCTTACCCAGGTCATAAAGAACACTAAAGAATAAAGTGAAAAATTCAAATGATTCACACTATGTCTTCAAAATCTCTCTGTTAAGTTCCAAGCAACAAGAAGTCTTCCCTTTCCCTGACGCATTTTCAATTAAAAATAATAAACATTCATCAAATATATACTTACTTGGCTGACAGGAAATCTTGCTTGATTTATCTGCATATTAGCCATTTGTTTGTTCATCTAAATTAATCATAAAAGATGAATAAGAAAAATGATACAACCAAAATATATTGAAAATAATTAACTAACAAACCCTTGCTCTGTTTATTATCTTGCATAACAAAATAATTTCAACAAATATTTTAAAGAATTCTAGAGCATACCAAATCAATTCCTAAGTTGTAGAAATAAACATATTCACAACCAAACCTATCGTAATTTTTTTCATTTTATTTTAGCTTTCCTATTTTTGTTTAAACATAACCATTATAATCAAGATTAAGTTGTGAATAAAACCACTATAACAGTTTTGTAGATATATATAGCACCCTGTCTGCTAGGAATAGCCTAGCAGCCTGTGTTGCCTTTTTTTCAACATTTCTTCATTTATAATTAAAGCATTTGACCTTGGTATATATTCCAGATATATCTAGAACTTATATACAAAATATAACCTGGACTGCAAAGTTTGGGAATTTGCGAAGTTTTGGTGTGCTCCTCAAATCCTGTATGAGCATTTTTGAAATGAGAATAGTGTTATTCACTCTATTTTACTATTTTGCTTTGTATTTTGCTTTCATGCAAGCATCAGCAATATCAAATCTTAGCATATAATGATACCACTGACCGAAAAAAAATCTGGACACTGTCACAAATAATTAATGTCGTTTTTTCTAACCTGAACAATTATTTGGCATTTACTACATCTCTGGGAATTTACTGCATCATCAAACTGTTATCATCCGATCTAAATATAGGAGTCCTGAATATTACATTATTATGGGGGCTTACACAATCAAACAAATCAAAGATGTATAGTTTTTTTCTGTGTACAATCACTGTTTTTACTGCATGTCTTATAACTGCTACAGAATGTTGTAGCGTCATTTTGATTCATCATGGTTGTATAAATCTCTTAAAATAATGTTACCTGATTCATCGGTTGTTGGGGTGGCCCAGTGCCCATATTCATCCCTGGATTTAATGAAGCTGGCGGAGTAACGTTGCCATTTTGAGTACTAAACATTGGAACTTGTTGCATCGCTGAAGGCCCAGTAGAACTCTTTGGTGGTACCATTGCCATACCAGGCCTCATTCCTTGTGCTTGGGGAGGTCCTCCTTGATAACCGTAATTCTGTCCTTGACCCTGAGGCTGAGGCAGCCATGGCTGTCCTGGATTAGGCCCTCCTTGTTGCTGATTTATGTTCATAATCCGTTTTCAAATAAAGTTTAAAGGTTAATATTTTCCAAGATTTGGCAACTTGTCCAATAACAAGTATATGAAAAAATATAAAATCTTGTTTAGTGTAGCTGCTTAACAAAAATTTTCTCCACAACTAACACGTCAAACAGTCCACCATCTTGGATTTGACAACGGAAGTGTTTTCCACATATTGCCCCTGTGTCTTCTGCCACGTCGTTGGAAGTGAGAGTTCCCGGATGAAACAACACATTTTGCTTCGAAGTTGGTCAAAAGATCAATTCAGCTGTTGATTTTTAAGTCATTTGAGAATTGCTATCTTACTGGTCACTTGTTACGAAGCTCTGCTCTCAAGTTACCTTCGAACCCCGAAAATCCGAAAATATGGTTAAATTAAATATTTTGGGGAGGGAGGGGTGAAATTATGGAATTTTCTTGTTACTAAACCTATGGCACCAGAGCCTAAGAAATTAGGAAGGGAAAATAATTAAATGTTTCCATTTATCCTAAAGTTAGGAAAAATGGAAACACTTATGTCAAAAATTCGACTTTTATCGAAAATATTTTCAGTTATTTAATCTCCAAAGCCATTGCAAATTTCCAAAAACTCAGATTGTACGAAGAAAAGATATGTTCAAAAGATTATCACCTCAAACTTCTTGTAAAAATACGAGATGTTTGAAAACATCAGGAACTGAAGAATCTAAAAATGAATAGTGACAGCCTAAAAGATTCTTCACAGAGATCGAGTTAACAACACGAAACATCTTCTTTTGAGGTGACATTAGATTTAGGTAATGTTTTCCTAAGCCCAAAGCATTACAACTCCATAGTCAAACAAAATGTTGTTATCACTTTCCAACTCTTTTTAATCCTTCCAAAATTTTGGTTATTTGACAAATCAAGTGACGTCTTGAACTTTCCTTTAGAACTGGAGAGGGTCCATAACTAATAATTGAATAAAAGACCTCAAAAGTAACTTGAAAAAAGATAATAGCCTTGAAGCAGAAGCACTAGTGCTGCCAAAGCTACTGTTGCAAAATTACAAAAAAATCGAAAGTAAACTGCATTGGTTTGAAAGCTATGTACTTGTTCAGTTGAATACACTCTGCTACTTAGCTTTTTGAAATACTCTTGCGCAAAAACTTCATATCTAGCTTTATTAGAATCATATTTTAAGTAAAATTTCATTGCGGTATATTGGATTAGAGTCTTTAATTTTCAGCTTTCACCCTTTGTTCGAGGCTTTTTTCATCTTATTTCAAAATTTGAGATCAGTTATGACTTGGAGTCGATCAACTTTGAGATTGACTTACTCCCAAAACGCAAGGAAAACTGTCTGTAAATTTTACAGTAAGAATAGCCTTTTTTGTCTGTATTCTTTTATATAGAGAAGTAAATTAGTTAGACTTAAGCCTATCATGAAAACGAAATGGAATTTGAAATCATATATGCATGGCATGAAAATTATCGGCGACTGTTTATATTGCCAAAATTTCTTATGCTTTGAATCTTACTAAAAGGCCCTAAAAGAGCCAAAAAACCTTAATTTTTCATATCAAAACATCTGATATTTGAAACAACTGTTCTCGTCATTAGTGATGTGTCAACTGTCAACCAAACCAGCCAAAAGTTGTCAATGTTTACATATCATTTTTGTTTTAATCTACCTGCATTCGAGTGAGACCTGCTAGAATATTTTAAGCATAAAATTTTCAGCCAGCTTAAAGTGCAAAGGTAGAAATAATAGGTCATGTCTTTATAGGTGACATCTATAAAGCACGTGTAGGATTATTTTTAAAATAACGAATTTTTAAAACATTCGTAAAAAAGGCTACGCATAACCAGCTTGTCTATTTTCCTAATGGTAGCCTGAATTGGCTCCGTTGTTCCCACAGTCAAACTTGTCTTAAATCTTAAACTTCTAAGCAGCTGTTAGTTGAAATTGTTCATCGTTAGTAAAGCCAAAAGTTAATCATCGAAACTAAGGTAAGTTTTTCGTTGAATGTGGTGCTTAGATGCGTTCCTTTTTTAACGATCTCCTTGGTCTTTATACACTGTAAGACATTAATCGGCAAATCTATCGTATTTTGACGCTTAAGCCTTTTCCCATTAAATTGGGGTGAGTTTCCTTGAGTTTAGTTGAGATGAGTTTGATTGGATTGGGTGGGCTCGGGTCAGGTAATGTTAGGTTTACTTGAATGCGGTTGAATAAAAGCTCTCAAAAATTAGATCCAACATTCACGTTTTTAAAAAGAGTGATCTTTATTCATGGTAAAATTGTAACCAAATTCTAGAGTAAAATTCTAGAGTGATAACCGAGCATTGATTTTTATGTAAAATTGCAACAAAGGGCAGAGTCAAGGGTATAAATACAAACAATTATACATATTTATTTACATACATGTGAAGAAAATATAATACAAGTCTTACAATCTGCTCAATTAAGAAAGTAGCTTTCGTTAAAAGTAGGGTGGCCTTGTCTCTCGAAGCACCTTGAAAACTTGATAAATATCGACATGCTTCCATACTCCAAAAGTTTGGTTCTTATTGAAGGTGTTATCATACTGCAGTTGCTCAAGTGTAGAGTTGACAGGGCCTTTAAACGTAGAAAGCTTAACACGCCTTCATTTGTTAGAACTCGACTATGACTGAAAAAGAATGCGAAATAATCAGTCTCCAGCACAAAGACGCGAAATGTCTCATCTGGTTCGAGCATAGAGAATATGTTAGGATAGGATAAACATAGGCCTTGGAGCTGTTGCAGTTTATACAACAATTTGGGGATTGTACAAAATATAAATGCATATAAATTTTAAAGTTTACTTTATTAGCAACATTCTTTACATTTTCAAGGTTAAAGTACCCAGTTCAAAAAGTATTTTTTCTAGAAAAACAAATAAATAACGTATTTCTGTATCGTTATCTATCGTGATACGCGTCTCCCTCTTGATTCTTCCTATAAAGTAAGCCTAGGGGATGAACTCTAGACCAAGTCATTCTAAACCCTGTATGCCATATTTTCGCAGGCTTCGCAAGTCTGCAGCCGGATTTCTACCACAAAAACCTTGAGAGGACGAACACAAAAAGCACAATTATTGGCTACTTGGCTACTTGAGAACCCTATATAGACCATGAAGAAAATCCAAGCCTTCACTTAATGAATGGTCAGGCCTACGTAGAAAGAGATGCGGGTAAATGTTCAAGACCCTTCTATATAGCAAGTGCCGAGGCATGAGGGTGTAAAATCAATCTGCACCTATCATCCTTTTTTTTGCCTTTTCTATTGTTCTGCATTATTTCTTATCAAAGCTGTAAATGCAGGACATGGCTCCCTCCCGTCAATGTATATTGCTACTTACTCAAGACGAAGATGCTTTAGATAACTCAGGTCTGACATTGCAAGCGTTAACAGTAGGCTGTCATCTATGGCAAATCCATCCGATCCAGAGGAAAGCTCCAAGCGTTCCAAGTACTTTAATTTACTAAGCATATTTTTCATTCCAGCACTTGAAATATTTCTGCACAGCGAGAGGACAACTTTGGTTAGCTTTGAAGTTTCCCAGTCTACTTGACCGAGATTGTGGTCTGTTACACCATTCATTTTGAAATGCAGCTCTTCCAAATCTGTGCACTCTTTGATGAGAGTATCCAAACCATCACCTTGCAGAACAGAAAACCGACAGCCATGTTACAAGTCTTATAATAAAAAGACGTGAAATACAACATGAAACAAGGATGATTTAAAAAGCAGATGTGGCAAATACGCTTCTGTCATTGTTGTCCTATCGGAACAAAAGGTTGTTTAAGTTCTTATGACCTTTTTTGGAATAAGGTCTTTAAGCAGAATTTTACACAAATGCACCAAATGCAACCATGGTATAGCTAAGCCGATGTCTTGTTAAAGGCCTCTTCGACAAAGTTAAAGAAAATATCGATACACTTCTTTGTGAAAGATGATCGATTGGCCTTCTTTTAAAAAGTCAAAGCGAGCTAATTTTGGATGGACAGCAGTGCTATCTAAATAGGAGTTGTCTAGTTCCCATAGTGCTCAACCTGATGACGTAATTAGTTCACCCTAAACCCAATCCTAACCTTAAACCTAACCCTTTACTTGAAATAATTAATCATGCTAATTTATGACAAATAATCATGCTTATTTATGACTATCAGGTCGAGCAGTGTGGAAACTAGACAATTCTATCTAAATAGTCAAATATTTAATCCAAGGAAACAACCTCTTTCTGACACCAGAAGAGGAGCTATTGTTACACGAAATCTCGGGTCCCGCTACGAAAAAAGCTTTTACTATAGCTGGTATTCATCGTACACTTAGGCACACCTCTACAACTTATGTTAGTCTTAATTTGTACCATAATTGTATCGCTTTCTTTTCAGACGATCTCTCACAGTTGAAATTTACCATAAAAGACAAAAATATATCTTTAACCTTTCTGTTTCAATCAACTCTGACTTTGCCGGCAAACTGATGACTTTGTAAACGAACTGACAGAAAATCGTGGCAAAACGAATACATCTGATCACTATTGATGATAATACAATACAAATATGTCTTATGACTTTGCAACAAGAAATCTTTCTGATAGAAAAGGTTGAACGGGTGCTTACCTTCCCATTCCAGCGCATGCATAATGGCCAATGACTGCAAACTTTTGCTTTGCCTCGCGATTGCTTTAATGTGATCCCCAGTGAGTTGTAGGCCGTTGTTTACAAAGAAAACTCGTAACTCAGGCAGGAACTGTAACATTTCATCAAGATCAAACAATTGATCTGAGAAATGGTTGGTAATCTTGAACTTTTTTACCGTTAGAAGAGCAGGAACAATGAGCTTTAAAACTGCACTTTCGCCCGTTACGGAGGCAAGTGAAAGTTCTTGAAGTCCTGTTGGAAAAGGTTTGTCAGTGGGTATACTTTTAAACTTTCCAACAAATTTACAACCGTCAAGGTTCAGTGATTTAAGGGTGCTGCATTTTGCGAGTTCTTGTAATATAGTTTGCGTTATTTTAAATCCTTTCAACGATAATTCACGAATTTTACCAGAAAACAAATTTCTTATTATTCTAACCAAAGTCGACTCGGAGACTGTTTTTCGATATGGCTGCATATCGACTCTGGCCCACAAACTCATATCAAATGCTAGTTGTCTCCATCTTTGACACGTCCTCGATGCCGCCAAGAGATTTTTCAACGACAAAAATCCGAGAATCTTTATAATTACACCATCAGGAATTACATCCAGAAAACTGTATTCAGATTCATCACCGAAGTTACATCCTTGAGTAGAGTATTTTGCAGGAATGGCGAAATCGTTGACTACATCTTCGCGACTTAGAATTGCAAATGGCAGAGGATTTTGTCTATATCCCATCAAATTTTGCAACCTAACAAATGGATTAATGTCCAATGATTCAAAAGAATAACTCTCATCAGAATCGTCATAAAATTCATCATCCTCATAGGGTACGTTGTAAAGCCTCTCGCTCATGTACTTCTTGATATTTTTCATTCCTTTCTCTCGCTCAGCGAGAAAAGCCCTAATTTTCTCGAATGCTGCCTCCGAATGCCCTCTATTTTTGTCACTTTCCGACAAACTCTCCATTTCCGGGATGGTACAACAGATAAAGCGGTTCAAATTACGGCCTTCGTTCCCTCAGCAAATAATTCCAAACAGAAATCGAGTAAATACTTTAAGTAAATACAACCTATGGTATGCAGCAATCAAAATCCGGTGCTTTTAAAAACAGACAAACTGGCAACATGCGGCACTTTTCATAAGAGTTTGCTCCTCTATTCATACGAAATGGTGCACTAAATAAACAAATAATACGATTTGAAATATGTTGAAACTTTTATATACTCTGATGAAAAAGATGTCGAAATTCGACCTTAAATAGCAGAAAGTGGATAAGAAAAATAGAATGCAACGTTCTATTGGAAAAATGCAATTATCCTAATTTTACATTACGCTGTAGTAACTGCTCAAATCATCTTTTACCATAAACACAATCATTGTCACAAAGGTACACTTCAGGAATTTAAATAAAAATGCGCCATCTTAAGATCTTTATAGAGTTGAAAGATTGTCAATAAATACCAAATATGGGGAAACTACATAAAAAATGTTAAGATCAAATACGTTCAAGAAAGGTCGCGAATGGATCAAGTTTTCTGTATACATAGAATTAAAAAATGACTGCAATATATCGAGCTGAAGACACACAAATTTTGATAATACCGAAGGCATGTTTTCACCTCTAAATCTATTGGGAGAGATATGGTTTCTCGCAAGTTAAGCCACATTTAAAGTAATCATGCCCATATGTTAAACGAGATTAGCCAAAGTAGGCAAGTACAATCCTGATATAGTCCTACGTGTAGAATAATCCTACTTCCATGACGTTATGCAATTCATCAGAAGGATTTAGAGGAAGAGATTTTGCCAAGTTCACATTTTGCATTCTTTACCCTATTCCTATTTGTGTGTTACAACAGGCACGAATCTATCCAGGAAAAATCTGTGGAAATTTCATTTGATAGCAAATTTACTTGATCAATAACCATAAGAGCAAAATCTAATAAGAAAGAATGCAACGAATAACATGTCGTTAGACGAAAACAGCTGGAAGACAAGGTGGCAGTTCGTGGAAAACAACTGCATAAATTGGCTAGACCAGATAACGAAGAATTAATTATTTAAGGTGAATTAATTACTGTAAACTTGATTTGTTCAGTATTAAGTTTACGCAGTTTAACTTTAATTTAATAGTTGTCTTTCGTTGCAAATTCGATTACTTTATCTTTTGATGACTGTTTATATGGCACGAGAAAAACATTTCAAATTAAACTAATAAATCACTGAACGGAGATTCCTTTGTTGTTGTTTTCAGTTTATTTTGCATCAATGACACGACAACAAAAGCATTCATAAGTTTACATCCAGGAAAATTTTACAAAATTATGAAAGCTTGATTTATAAAAAGGAGCTGTTGGATATTAGGAGCTGGTATGAAAATCTAAATAATCATGAAATATTGACATTTTTTCTACATTTTGAGCAACTACAAACTGTCGAATAATTTGCAAGGTCCTTTGATAAAAAAGGTTTAAGGTTTGGAAAAACAGGTATGCAGTGATTTCATTCGAGCTTGCTTTTTCATATTTGCTAAACGGCTATTCTCTTGCAATTTCAGTTTATCAGAGGCTAATTTGATGGTGAGTTAGGTGGGAAATCTGCTTGAAGAAGTAAAATACGCAACAAAAGCTTTGCAATTATGCCGTCTGTTTCCATGCACAAATTCAGCCATCCACATAAAAATCACGATGTATATTTGTAGATACTCTAGGTCAGTTTGGCAGGAACTTAACCTTTATTTCAAAGCAAAAGAACTAAATATAATAAAGTAACTAGACTGTAAACACTTATATCTAGAACGTTTATATTAGATGATAATTTTGTGTTATGGTAACATGGGTTCTCTTAATCATTAGAGAAAAGTATTTTCTTTGTGTGCCTTCACATACGTTGTAGGAGGATATTATACAAAAAGTTGAATGAAAATAAACTTTGCTTTTACTAAGGGAATCTCTTTTTCTTTCACTTAAAATCGAAATATTTTTTTAAAAACGAAGATACGTCCTCTTTTTATGTTGCTAGCTCTCTTGTTTTAAATCATTCCTTTGATTCCATCCTTACAAGTCCAAAAAAGCGTTCTCCCCCCCTGTTCCAAAATCAAAATCTGCGTTAAGCAACAATCATAGGTATAAATGCAAAAGGATTCTTTGTGGTAACGGGAAGAGCATAGAAAAATGAACCCTCCTTAATCTAATCTAAGATTAAATTAGAAAAATCTAATCCAATCAGTCGAATTGATTAGAAAGCAGGAGAACAAAGCTGATAACGCACTGATTTCGTATATATGATTATTCAGATATGATGCAAATGTGAAGGATGCGACAGAATAGAAATATTTTCTCCCTATACTGACAGAAAAATAATGGCAACAAGTATTATGCATATTCTATTCACACCTGGAAGTATTCCCTACACAGGAGGGTGGGTTGAAAACCAACTCATGCCAGTTGAGATTTAACATTATCTAATTTTACAACAAGAGGCTAATTATGTAAGTTCTACAAACTAAAATGTCACCTTAATGATGTTTCGTATGCAGACTAACCGGAGGCAAACCCAGTAAGAACTTCATGATCATCTTTAAGCCAATTGGACACCAGCACCGATGCTGGATGGTAATACAAGTACCAAACTGCAAGACTACCTAAGATCAATTTACGACAACAAGTCTTCAGTCTTTCTTTCCTCGTTTCGTACCGGGCGGATTTTGCAGCTGAAACTGCGATGTTGTGGATGACCCAGGTTTAGCAAATAAAGAACCCGTCAAGGAAGAACCAAGGGAAGACCCAATTAATGAGGAACCGGTGCCTAGGGATAGTGAAGTTCCAGCACCTCGACTTGATAACCCGGAGAACGATAGACTCCTGCTCATTCCAGTGGTGGAGATACCAGAGCTCTTAGCTAGCGACGATTGACCTATCTTATTGATTCCAAACGATCCGCCAACAACTGTACTTTGGCCACCTAAAACGACAGACAAAAGTCGCTACTAAAACACGAATAGAAAATTGTCCACAAAAACCCTCTTTGATATCATTTTCCACACCATTTTAAGAAACTAATAATAAGTAACATAATACTTTTTTGCTAAAACAAAATATGTTCTAACGTCTTATACTCTGAAGGATATCAGACAAAAAGCTTTAGTATGCTTCAAAATGTTTTCTTTTTTTTCAAAGCCATTAGTAATTTGTGTATAACCAAAAATTTTTGATAGAAAAACTGTAATCTAGATTTGAGAGAATTTGATTGGATTGTAAGAATTTTACTGGAATTGAAAATCGACTATACACTTTGGCTTTGAAGAAAAGTAATTTTAGCAAGATTATGACAGCTTTACGTAGCTCATCAAACCTCGCAAACTGATTCTAAACAGAGGTATACAGAAACTTTAAAGGTTCTTTGGGCTAAAATGATTTTCGTGCGGGAGGCCTTCAGGCACCAGATGTAATCTCGCATTATGATCTCTAATGACGGTCTGATTCTAACCAATTTGTATGGTAATCAAAATAGATAAAACGCATTCCAGATAGTTACAAAGTCTGATTTAATAAAAAAATCCCAACAAAGCAAAGTAAACTTGATTACCAGTTGTTGTCTGGTTCAAAGCGGCTGCCATAGCTACAGCAGATGGCCCAGCTAGTCCTGCAAATGGCGATGGTCCACTTCCTTTTTGTCCATCTTATAAAAACGATAAAAATATAAGATAGAAATTTTTTCAATGGCAAAATAATGATGACTGGGAGTTTTGAAAAAAAATCAATTAGCGATAAGAAAATTCCAATCTGTAGCGTTAAGTTGCTGTAGGACTATTCACGAAAGTCAAAACTATTTCAAATCTTTGACAAATCTTGACATTAATTTGACATTAATAATAAAAGATTAAATAACCTAGTGACAAATGATACAAATGTTTTGCAGCATGGGCTACGTTGTTTCTAAGAAAAATGCCAGGCAAACGCTATAAAGGAACTTCTAATGCACAGCAAAACAGAATATGAGAAGAGAGGCTGACTGAAATACCTGAGCTGACAAAAATATTAATTTCTGCCGGCGGTATGGAGTCTTAAACACAAATTGGTAACTTGAATGTTACATTCTTACCATCTCTGCTACCATTGCGGTATTTGTATCCGAAGATATCTGTGTTGTCGTTCAAAACCACTCTTCTGTATTGCAGATACTTGCTCTTCAATGACTATGGGGGAGGGACATATCAAGATTACCAGTGTGTCCTGCATTACAAAAACGCACTTGCACTACCAGAAATAAAAAATGTCCAGCTTCTAATAGAAGTTGGTAACAGAGCAGCCGTTTGATCTGCATAGAGCCATTCTCTCTTAATGCATAGTTTAATTTCTCAAGAAGTTCAGGTAAGATCAAATCTACCTCAAAACTACGGAATAGCTACACTGATGCAGAATTAGATGTGAAAATTCATAAGGGCCTGGAACATGGACATGGGTGATAGAACAAATGATGGTGCCATCCTTGTCCTTAGGGTGAATGTTACAATTTTGAAAGGAACAAAGTTGTGAAATGAAAAAGACTTTAAAAGGCAGGAAGAATATACCACCTTGACAGTTAAAAAAACAAAAAGTAAGAAATAATTTGAGGTATTAACTGTACCTGGACAGCCTCGTGTATTCCTTGTAGTTGAGCTGCCAAACCAACAAATGTATCATTCAGTTGTCTCAAAACACTGAGAAGATCTGAAAAATTGATTTAATTTATCCATTTATTATCAGGTAAGCGGATAAAAATTGATTAGATTTGAAAAAAGTTAGGTTGATGATAAACATAATTTGAAGATAAATTTATAAACAGAAAAATTGTCCCAATAATTTGTGGAACTTTTATCTGTAGTTAAAAACATTTTAATTCAAAAACTGAGGTAACGCTACATTACTAAAGTAAGGAAACATAAGAAACCAAAGACATTTATGAATCTGGGCTAGAAGAAAGTTAAGTAATATTTGGTGATTGAAGATAGCAAAATAGGATCACTGCTTTACGACTTTCACACGAGGAGAGGCACCATAAATACTTGGTCACAATGTGCTAGGAGAGGTTTAGATTTTCAAAACTTTCTAACATTGTTGTATATGGTTAAGGGTCTTAAAGGCAAAACTGTCTTTTAGCAGTTCGTTGCAGGATAAAAGCTGGGTAATAATGCTAGTAGAGGCTTTGAAACTGAGATGCCCTAAGTGTCAATCTGCTCAGAAAGTCATCATCAGATTTAAAAATACAGCACTGAGCTAAAATAGAGTTGATAAAAATACTAAATACAAGTAACAGCTTCATGAAGAATGACCTTGTGGATTAAAGTTCTGGACTGGAGTAGTGGCTGATAAATATGTTTCAAGTTCATCTAACTGCTGTCTGTATAATTTGACTCTGGTTTCAAAAGAGAACACAAGTGAACAGAAGTATTCTATTGGGGCAGAATAGTCATGCTGGAAACTTGCAGGAATCTCATGAAGCCTTCTTGCAAGAGAAGCATTGTTCAATTCCTAGAAAGAAGAAAGAGTTATCGGGGAATATTGACAAAGAAATGGTACAAAATAAAAAAAGTCAAATAGCTTTCAAAATATTGGCTGTGAAATAATAAATATATGTAAAGTAACTGAAGACAAAGCAATGAAAACTGACAAGCCTTATAATGGACAAAAGTAATGTATCATTCATAAACATAGGACATAAACTAAAAGCATGAAATAATCACAGTTATTGTCTTTGGGATTGTAGCTCTAAAAAGACAGTTATACTCATTGTCTCTTCTAACAGTGTACTTTTGGAATATTTCAAATTGTAAATTGAAAAGCACAGGCATAATTGCTATACCTGACTAAAATCCAAAGAAACATAATTAAATATATATATAATGATGTTTATAAACAAAAAATTAGATTGATTAGAAATTATAATCCATAATTATATCTGTAAACTATGAATATAACTACAAAGTTAATATAATCAGTTACTTTTGCATGAAAAGGTGTAAAAATTGGCATAGCTTTTAGGATGAATATCAAAAAAAGTTACATAGGTTATTACAAAAGAATTTATCAAAATGGAAAATTTTTTGCTTTTGTTTGTTTGACTATGGAACAAAACTTACCTGTGTGACATCTCCCTTAAGGCCCTCTATGCCAACTGCATCCCGTTGCATCCCATTAGAAACTTCAGCAAGTGACTAGAATTGGCAAAGTAGAAGAGCAAAACTTAAGTTTAAAGGTTGTTCAAACATTTATTGACCAAAATAACACACAACCAAAAAAATATTGAAATTTCATGATATAAATGAAAACCTGTTATTGGTTACGTAGACTTTTTGAATCTAAAGAAGAAATTTACAAATTTAACATTTAACAAATGACAAATTTAACAATTACCTGAAGAAAAACAAGATAGAACATTTCCATGATAAAACAAACAAAACTTTACATGATTCTTTTCATACCTGCTTTAATGCAGCTATTTCTTCAGTAGCCTTTAAAATCAGCTTTGCAGAATATCTTGCAATTTCATCTTTTTTGGCCCTTTGGTCCTTGATATGTTTGCTACAGAAAAGAAAGTACTTCCTTAATATGGTGGAAATAAATTGAAAATTTTACAAAGTGTTGGATATATTAGTTATATACAAAGACTAATTATGACATTTTAAGCTCTTTTTACCACAAAAAAGATATATATATATATATATATATCGAACAAAAGTAAGACGTAGATGCTAGTAAAAAAATGAGATGAGATGAATATTATATATATAATGCTTTTATCACAGTTCAACAAATACTGACAAAAACAAAAAATCAATTTTGCTAAAGCGTTAGCAGTTAAATCAATAAAAAATCCAAGGATATTCAATAGCTAATACACTTTTACTTGAAGTTAATGCTGTGACTTATTTCTGGTCCCTTAAAACTATGAAAATGCTATACAATACCACTACAGCAATCTAACCAACTCACCTTACTTCTTGATAAACCTGCATCAAAGGTTGTGCAACTTGTTCATCCTTTGGATTCTCTGGAGCCTTTTCTCTAGTAAAAAAACATACAGTGTCATATAAACTAGGTTAAATGCAATTTAAGTAGGTGAAGAATCAACTAAATATTATCATCCTTTTAGTATGGCCATACTCTCATGCAACTTTAAACTTTGCCATGGTCATACTCTTATGCATCTTTCTATACTCTGTACACTTGAATTCAGACAGGGGAATGGACAGAAATTTTGGATTCTGACAATCACTGGGGAAAAACTGCTGTTGCAAATCTGCCTTTCATGTCTTATCTGGATATACAAAAAATTGCAGAGCAGCAATATGCATGTGCTACTGCCTTACTTCTCCTTTGTATATGTATCTACATAATTCTTGGCTACAACTCACTTATGTTCAAAAATGCTAAAGGGGATGTTTTTTTCACTGAGGGTGGTAGGGAAGTCTTCCAGTGTCCACTTAAGATCATAAGCATCAAAGAAATGTGCTGTGACTTGTCTGGATAGTTTTTCCTGCTTCACAAGTGCATTTAAGGTAATTTTGGTATGAATAAGTTGTCTTAAACTGCTATAGTTAACATTTTTCAAATAGTCTGCATAGTTAAAATTTCTCGGTAAATAGACAAATTCATCATGCAGCTGAGCTACTTGATGCTCATTCCACTTAAAACATATCCCAAAGAACTTAGTGCACTTTACGCCTACACCTGAAGGAATTCCAAAAAATTCTCTGCACCACACTTTCATTACAGAACTTATTGCACACCTGAGATCACATCAAAAAGTGTCAAACATTTCAGTCTGGCTCCTTTAGCATTGGTGACATGAGATGGTGAGATGAGGTGACTTGATAAACTTTGGAACACTCTTTCTCTATTCATCCGTGTCGCCAACTCTGTTGCAATTTTCCGATCCAAATTGAAAACACACATCATTTACCCTTATTAATAACATTTTTGGCAAATTTTCCTGGAAAGGTTATTTTTTTTTTTTATATTCACATAAAAATTTACAACAACAACAATTACAATACAAAAGCCTAGGGAGCATGGAAATGCATAACAACCCTAAGACTAACACTTAACATAGAGACACAAATATTACAATAATAAGCTACAAAAGTGATTGGAGTGGCGTCACCAATCGTTCCAAAAGCGTTGCAGATATGACAAATACTCACAATAAGCTATTTTTAAAAGAAGATATCAAGTCTACCTATGTTCCTTGTTATTCCCAATATCCTCATTGGAGTTTCGTTGTGAAAAATCTGGTAATATGTTTGATTTATTTTTATTAAAATATGTTAATTAAAATATTTTATTAAATTAGTTTTATTTGTTTTTATGGGGGGGGGGCTCTCTCTTGATTAGTTAACCTATTTAGAGAGCTCCTCCTTAATCAATCAGTCTTAAATACAATCATGTAAAGTTCTTTTCTAGTCTTCTGTAAGCTTAATTTGTTTTGTGTGGTATTATGTATTGTAAATATTTAGTTGGAGTGTTATCTTGTAGAATTGTATTTAGGATTGAGTGATAAATAAATGAAACTGAAACTGAAAACTGAGATGCGTGTTTGTTTTTACATCGCTCATTTACTTGTAGCTTACTATATACAATATCATATGTAAAAAGCAAACTAAACCAAATCGATAAGTAACTACACAAATAAATGAATAAAATACTTAAATGTACATAAATAAATATTATTACAGTGTAATAGTTAAATGAATTGAATATATAAAAGCTAAAATTTAAGACACATCAATTTTTTCAGTCTGGAATGAATATATAAAAGCTAAAATTTAAGACACACCAATTTTTTTAGTCTGGAATGAATATATAAAAGCTAAAATTTAAGACATACCAATTTTTTCAGTCTGGAATGAATATATAAAAGCTAAAATTTAAGACACACCAGATTGCAAAGCTTGGGTATGCATAAAGATAAATGATTTGTGAAAATAATTCCCCTCACAGAAAATACTTTGCAAACTGGAAGACACATACTGGCCTTTGTTACATTTATACAGTTTGGGCCAATCCACTTTTTTATCATACGTTTGAAAGTATTTCAATTTTCCTTGGATTTTATATCATTTGATAGCTCATTCCAAATTTGAGGTCCTAATGACTATAGGCTATCAGAACCAAAGGTTTCTTGGTTTGGCCTATAATGAACTACATGTTTGGCCATTGGGCTATTCCATTTGATATCTGTACATGGGGATGGAAGTAAAATTCCAGGAGGGTCTGGCACGAAGGATATTCCAGGGGGTTGAAATAACAAATATATGAAGTTTTTCAAGGGGTATTAAAAAATGTATGATGTTTTCTCAAATGGGTTAAGAAATTCATTAAAAAGAATGACATGAATTTTCCGGGGGTTGAAAGAATCAAAATCAGAGTGGTCATGATTTTCAAATTCACTTTCCGGTGGATATATGATTAACAGAAATTTTACTTCCATCCCCCTGTATGGAGTAAAAATGGAATAGCCCATTGGTTTGGCCTATAATGAACTATAGAAAGATCTTTCCAAAGTAAAAGATAATTTGAAAACATCCATAAAATTCCTTACCCTACATTAGATGTAGTTTTACCGGCTGTCATTTGCAAACCTAATGCCGAGCTTGTATTTCCAAAAAGCGATCCAGTTCCTGACGACAACTGAAATGGTGCTGCTGGAATAGATGAGGCAACAGTCATTTTCGCGCCAAACAGTCCTCCGCCGAGAGTAGAGCTGGTACTCGCTGCATTAAGACCAGTGGAAAGAAAACCCAATCCAGTTGGCTGTGTAGACTGTGTCGTGCTTGCTGTAGCAGAAAATGCACTAACAGAAGCTGCAGGTTTAGTACCAAATCCTCCAAAACCCAAACTGGTTTGTCCAGTAGAAGATAACGCAGGAGTTTGGGAAGCTCCGAATGTGAAGCCTACTGAGCTGGTAGTGGTAGGCTTTATACCACCAAATGAAAACCCAGTTGAAGATGGCTGTGAGGTAATATTTGTTCCGAATGCCGGTGTGCCTGACGATGCGGCTCCAAAAAGACCAGAGCCCCCAAAGGTTCCTGATGCAGCAGCCATTTTGTCTTCCTTATGGTTAACTTGAAAAAGAGGTGACCTCTCTTGAATGAAACGACAGCAACTCCCTGGGCTCTCAATGGCACAGCCCCCAATGACACCCTAACTTGAGTCAGTGTGAGTATAGGGGTAGGGTTTGAGAAAAGCTTTCAGCAAAGGCCTTCAGACTTTAAAACTTTTTGCATAATTTTTAAATTCTTTACACAGGAACAAAATTCTTTTCAGTGTACGTAACTTACTATCGACCCTGCGAGAAAATAAAGCAATTACAGTAATGGTTGTAATGTGGTGTGGTAATTAAAATAAGGTATGAAAATAGCAGCCCTTACGAAATACCAACTCTTGCAACTTTCAATATACAATCTTAAGTTCAAATAGAGATATTGATAAGGATACAAATGCAAAATATTGATTTGATTAAACTAACAAGCCTCCTCAAGTATATTTAATCGTCTTCTTTTAGCTTAAATTTGAGACAGACTGGATAAACGGGGCTAATGTAGTGTCTAAATCTAGTTTATTTCATGTGTCAGATCCATGACGGGTAAAAAATATGTGCATAAGACTGACACTCTTTCAAATAGTGTCCATTCAATAGAAGCTATATTGCTGTATTAATAAATCTGGTTTTTCATGGCCCCTAAAGCTACATTGCTTTATGCAAAATGATCGTAAAAAGCATTGTCTTGATTAAGCATTGGATATTTCATTTGCACCTATAAGTTTAGAAAGCTGGACGTGGTCATACCCTGCAGTCCCCCATGTTAATTTTTTTGAAAAGCTAGTATTTATAGAAAACTTTCTTTATGAAAAGCTTTAATAAATACAGATTATAAAACTTGCTATTGAAACATGGGGGAACGCTGATGTTTCGTTGATTAGAGAAAGATCCTGTTTAAGATGAATTTTCTCCTCTTTTAAGTAATTCAAGGTTTTCGTTATATAACTTCATTGAAAGACACCGTTGATTAAGGAGACAAGAACATGGGTAAACTTTTTAAAACCGCGCGCTTTGAAACGCCATAAATCTTTCTGTAATGCGGATAAGTCAGTAAATTGCTTTGCAACTTTGAAAAAAGAATCTTAACTTCCGTTGTGCAAGTTTTGAATTTAGGAAACTTTAGGCAAATGCCCACTCATTCTCTTCCTTTGCTACGCTGCTGAATTTACAACAAGTCGAATAAGAATGCTAACAGCATTCAATTGTGATATGACGAATCAAACATCACTTAAAGTAATGGGGAAAATGTTGTTGTGTACTATGAGCTATTATACTGATTTCTATTTAAGAAAGCAAAGTCATAGAACTAGAGAATTCAGTTGAGGAATCAATTTCTTTTTCTATAATTTTCATTTTGAAAAATCCTATACGGTATCAATTAGGGTGTGACTACGGCCCCCTGGGACCCTGAATGAAAGATGGTAATTGATGGATATGAAATAGGGAATTTTGTCTCTGGGCTTGGCTGCTGCATATCTTGTAGATATTAACCGTATTGCTTGTTGTATTCTCGAGTAATATTACTGAACACCTGGTATCCACATTTGTTAACAATTGTATAAAGTCCTGGAGAGACCATATTTATACACAGATTTATACACAAACATAAACACTACAATTTTTTGCGGCAGATACAAAGTGATATGAGATGTATCCTGTATTGTATAAGAAAGCAGCCCCTAAACAGCGATTCGATACTGGAGAAATTATTCGTACACAAGTAGAAATAATTTCGACTTAAACGAATCAGACCATTCAAAACTTTTTAGTTCGGAATATATTGCTGCTGAAACTCTTGAAGGCAGTAGCTCCAATAACCTTGTCACCAAAAATTTTGCCCCCTTTTGGCAAATATTGGGGGCATGGCATTTGACAGGAAATAAGACAGAAGGCAATTGATGCAAAAAACAAACTTTTTTAACAAAACAGTATGATTTTGTTGTCGATAGAATCAACACTATTTGAATCTTCACAACAATACTGACCCTTTCACAAAGCATTTTAACCGCTCTCAAGCGGTTTATATCATACCACTATGAATAAATGACTACAGTGGTCATGACAGCACTAAGCTTGCAGTACGATTAAAAAGATCAGCACTACATCCTATGCAGGACCATGGGAAGGAAGACGGCTAGAGAATGAGGTGTACCTTGCCCTTAAAATTTCCGTGCGGTTTTTATGTTCCCTGTAACAGAGTTGTAAATGGAAGCTACAGATACCTTTTTTGTCTTACAGCTTCTCTTCCTCGAAATAAGCTTTACTCTGACGGCTCTGCTATGGTATAGTTAAACCGTAGAATTGAGGGCTTTTAGAGCTCAGCCGGCTGAGTCCTGTAGACCCGAAAGAGTATATACACTTACGATTACGTGTGACAAAAGTATTAGGACGATGAATAACAAAATGGCGGCTCCAAAACTAGCATTCTAACATGAATTCAACAAATCTTGCTGTTTTGGCGGGATTCTAGAAATGGCTTCAGCAAAAACGCGATTCCTAACAAATTCGATTTATTTTCTACCTTTCTATGATAGAAAAGTGGCAAAATATCAGGGAGAAGTGGAAAATATCAATGTTTTAGTTTCAATGCCGAAAACACAAAAACGACCAGAAAGAGAACGAGAAGCAATAAAATATTTGGGTCTAGCGAGTCATTTGTTTGCTGAAACTGCAAGAAAGTTTGCTTGCAGCAAGTCTACAACACATGTTTTTACAAGAACAATTAGTTAACAATGCGTACTAAAATTAAAAGAATGGTAGGCCAGGGTAGGCCGACTATTGGTTGGGCCTAATGACATCTGCAAGCTGGCGTTGTGTGCAAAGTCAATCAATGCTGAATATTTTGTCCAATTATATGTGGAAAGTCCCCAGGCAAGTACAGAAACAAGTAATGATTCTTTGCAAATACCATTTCTTTTTAAGCTGGACAGTAAATCAAGATATGCTACAATTGTGACAAAAATTTTCAAAAATAATAACATCGTTGTCTTTCAATAACCCCGTCAAAGTCAAAGCCTTGATGTAATTAAAAACAATAGGTTTTTCATAAAAAAATCTAAGAAATGAAATCTTCTAAGACCAAAAATAAACTCATTTAGAATTTTCTTAAGATTTCCTACTGTGTCCGAAGATATTTCGTTGCAAAATCAATTCAGCGAGTTCCAGTGCAAATGGCGGCTGCCAGATTATGCTCCACCGGTTTTCTTTGACGTTTTCTGAGCAAAGGGTTAACCACAATTGCTTTGAGACGATCGTCCTATTACTTTTGTCAAGTAAGTGTACATTAACAAAGTCAAAACTAACATCAAGGAAATTAAACTTGGTTGTTTAATAGCAAGGTCTGTAACTCACTTAAACAAAAAAATACCAAACACATTTATATATATACACTCTCTTTTTTTAATAAGAACCAGCAAATTTAAGTTCAGGCTGACTGTACTAAATTTTTTCGAAAATCTGAGGCTGGATTGTTCTAAATTTGTTCTTAAATAAAGAGAGTGTAAGCAGTGCTATTGCTAGCTTTTTCGATCTAAGGAGGTGCTCAGGCCTCATTTGCTAACAAAGAGAGTTAGACAGCCTTAATTTGCTGACAAATTTGAAAATTCACCAAAAAAGCACCCACACATTGCTAAAAATCCTCAATTTTGAGAAAAAACGTTTTTCAAAATTGCATTTTGCAGAAGCTCAGCCTCAGCTTGTTCTTAATTTGTTTTTAACTTTTGACCAGTTTTGAGGCTCGTGTTCTTATAAAATTGTTCTTATAAAAAAAGAGTGTATGTATACCATGCAGTCAATTAACAAACTTCCATTTCAGATTGATCAATTTGCAAGAGATTTATGCTATTTTGAATTTTTAGTCTGAATTAGCAAAATTAAGTAGGTTGATGATACATGCGGTTGATTAAATTATTATACATAGCATGCTTCTCAAAAGCAATCTTAGATTCAAAATCAGTTAATGCTACTTCTAAGACACCCTTTACCATTCACATTGTCATTTGCTCTTGGCCACTGTGATATTCAAATTCAGCTGTAAAATGTCGCAGAAAGCCAGGCTCTTTTGTTATTCTCATTCCCCTGATCATAGATCTTCTAGCGAAAACTCTTTTGATCACTGAGACAGTGTAGTCAATATGCTCTTTTGTATACATTCTCCTTGGTACTGCCAGCCTCACAAGTTCCATCGCGGCCGGTTTCTCTGTGCCATCTGGACATTTTCCAAACATTAGTGAGCCAATCTCAACACAACGGACACCGCCTTCCAGATAAATCTCGATAGCAAAAGAATGGCCTTAAAAAAAATTGAATTACGAGTGATGCCGGGCCGTCGCGACGGTTGGACGTAGGGGGAGGGGGTAATTGCCCCTTGGAAAATATTTCATTGTAAAAACGAGAAGTTATGAGAAGGGGTAAAAAGGAAGGGTCACAAAACCTTTTTTCATAAATTAGGTTTTCAAACACATATGTACATTGGGGCCAGCACAAATTGTCAAGAGAGGAAAATAACAACACGTCAAGAGGATAATCCATTCCTTACACATTTGTTACTTGCTTCCCCCTTTTCAAATGACTAGATGCTTTGAAAATTCTGCAATCAAAGAACTGCTGTATCATGAATCATGAAAATAACTTTATGTCATGAATGAAAGTTTATATTTTTAGATTGTGTGTGACTGTAGATTTGGTAAAGTACCTGGAAAATGTAATGGTGGTATATGTGGGAGCATTTCTTTTGCGTCAATGTATACTGCATGTCCACCGATAGGCTGAATGACTGGTATATCAGCCTCGATCAATTGATTACCAAAGTACTGGACTTGACCCACTCTTTGAGACAGATACTCTTCAGTGACAACTTCTTTCAAGCCCTGGGCAATGACTTCCAAATCTCTTCCAGCCATGCCACCATATGTTAAAAAACCTTCAGTGACAATAAGATTTTGGATGCACTTCTGGGCAATATTGTCATCATTAAGCGCAATCCAGCCGCCAATATGGCTCAGGCCATCTTTCTTAGCACTCATGGTCATTCCATCTACCAGAGACGCTATCTCTCGAACGATCTCCACAATACTTTTGTCCTTGTAACCTTGCTCTCTTTCTTTGATAAACCAAGCGTTCTCAGCAAATCTGAAAAGTAGACAGATGCTTGTGATTGTTGTCTAAGATTCCACGAAAAGTAACGCACCATTTTAAAAGTCATGAGGTAGGGGGCAAGGTGTACAGACAGCAAGAAACGTCATCTATCACTTCTGGAGTGAAGAAATGTCTATAACAAAGTCGTTTCCATATTAGGCCTAATAACGGTATAAAGTGTATTCAAACAGATCCATCTAAATGGTAAATAAAGCATTCGATAAACATGCTCAGAATGCTGTCAATTTGTCATTCTCTAATCTTTATTATTTTTACCGCGATCTAGAGTTTTTTGAACCATCTAGCGAAAAATGGAACGAGAATGGTCTGCGAAAAATGTCCTATTTTTTTAACATGGATGGTTCCAGGAAAGATTATGTTACTGAACTGAACTGCCAAAGATATGAAACAAGGTAAACGAGTATATTCAAGACGGTAGACAGATGTCATCTCTGTATGAGGCCGGAGGGGCAAGGATTATAGGGTTTTGCTGGTGACACCAGAGTGGATTCCACAATGATATAGAAATAGTTTCTTGATTGAATCAACATAAAATTTTCAAAACGACACATAGATATACAACAAGATGGTTTGGTTTAGCAATGAAATTGGATATAGGTGTTGATGGGTTTTCAAAATGATCTCCGTGGTGGAGTAATGAATGAGAAGCGTATACACTCATTTTTTTATAAGAAATTGGCTATAAGAAACGAGTACTAGACAGTCAGAAAAATTAAGAAACTTCAGTACTCGAAGCAAAAATATTAAGAAACTATTAAATCGTGATAAAACTGAGAACAACGAAATTTTGTAAAGCCCAAGAACATGATTGCCCTGAAGGCCTAGAAATTAAGATATAAGGGATAAAAATATACTTTCCACGTCTAAATACAGCGTAAAAAAAAGTAACGAACATTTCATAACATCATTCATGACATCTTAATTAAGAAACTCTTAAGAAACAGTGAGTATTGAAATTTCCAGAACATTAAGAAACTGGAGTATTCAAAATCGACCTTTGTTTCTTATAAAAAAAATGAGTGTAGCTCAGAAGCAGAAAGACTACTGGGTCATAGCTAGAAGTTATTTCGTGTCTAAAAATAAGGTCCAGGAAACAAAAACAATCTTACTTCTGATAATCTCCAGGTAACCATAATAAGATTTATCAATGTAATGTCGTTACGTCAATGTAAGTTGTTTGCGTCAATGTCTTCCAAAAGTAATTTTTGGTTTAATTAATTAAGGTTGCATTGTTCAAGGTTGCAGAAGAAAGCGGGGGTAACTTAATCAAAGTTGTTCAAATTGTAATTCCGACAAATTGACCGGTCCCATTTGAGTGTCAGTGTGGCTCATTAAGGTTGTAAAAATGGCAATAATTGATTGCTGACATGACCATGCTTTGCATGTCTAAAACAGAAACAAAATTGAAGAATTTCAGACAGGAACAGAGAGACTGCTTTTTGTACATTTTTGGCAATTGCATGCTTGCTTGTTTCGAATGTCATCTTGGACGTCATATAAGGTGGAAAGCTCTGGAGAATTAAAAAGATCGAAGACTCTCACCCAATTAAGGGACAGCTAACTTTTCGTAATTATTTATGACTTTAAGTATCTTCAACTATCTTATATTTAAATATATGTATATGAATATCACGAAAACACTTTATTGTATGTTGTTTAGTAAGATACAATAAGAAAGAGTGATACTGTACTTAACTAAAAGAATGTTAAAGAAACTTGGAAAAAGAAAGCAAACTTCGAGAAATTCTGATGCAACAATCAGCAAGAAAATATTTGAACATTTCGAATCAATGTAACATGTGATTGTCATATTGAAAATTATGTCATCCTCATCCTCTCTTTGTTAGCTGTTAAGACCTGTAAAATGTGTTTGACTATCGATGGGCTTGTGTTAATCTGCTAAGAGGCCCTAAAATGACTGTAAACATGCAACTAAAATTGCATTGTCACTAGAATTGTCATTAGAATGGCCTCGATTTAGAATGAAAATAAGAGCACGATAATAGCCTTCTTGTTTGGTTTTGATGCTCTATAGTACTGCGTCGACTATTTTAACCGATTCATCGGGATCGGAGTAATAGACATGGCAACTAAAACATTTTAATCAAAACCTTCTAAATGTAATGAATATTGGTATCCTGGGTGAATCTTTTAATGTTGGAATCTTCATTCTTTCTTTAAGTAACATTGTTACCTAAAACTGCGTTTTTCAACCACTGTGGCGTGGCACATTGGTGACCCATGAGATAATATCTGGTGTGCCGTGAGGTATTGTCTGGTGTACCATGGAAAATTATCCAATTTCAACGAAGTGGTCATAAAATGAAACATTTAGCTATAATTCGCAGTTAGTGTACCGTGCTGCGTAGTCTCCACGTTGTAATACTCTTCATATCTACTCTGAGGGCGAATTTTTGCAAACATAGACCATAGAGTTTCATAGAGTGTGCTTGAGCAAAAAGGTTGAAAAACGTTGTTGAAAAACGTTGTTGAAAAACGTTGAAAAATGTTGTTGAAAACGATGTATTAGGAACTAACCTGCATGCATCAAGATACAGTGGTTTTCCATAATGGCGGCATATTGCGCTTACGAACTTGATATTTCTAACACTCACAGGTTGACCACCGCCAGCATTGTTGGTTAAAGTAAGCATTACGAGGGGTATATTTGATCCATGGTCTTGCAGCAAACGCTCAAGGGCCTCTATGTCCATATTGCCTAGACAAAATAGATCTCACATATTATCAGGCCCTATATACTTAATAAAATCAGACTATACACGAAGTTGAAAGGATGAAGATTTCATTTGGACGGGCAAAATCGTCAGAAAAGGGGGAACAAAATTAAAGAATTTCTATCTTTGAAATGCTTCTTCAATCCATATTGAAGTACAAGTACCCATTCCAGATTGAAATATTGTAAAATTCTATAAATAAAAGACGCCTGCGTTAAAGACGACAGTATAGCCTTTATAGAACACCTATGAGATTTCACACTAAAGGTCATCAAGAAGGGAGTGCTGCATATGTCAAAAATTTTCATTGCAAGTCAATTCATAGTAAGTGTTAGGTTTGATAGAATGTTAGAACAATTTTAATGCTAGCTTGCACCACCCAAGAATATTTGTGCACTACAATTGACTTTTGGTTATGACAAAACGCGGCTAACTTGATTATGCAACGAAAACAAAGCGTTGCTTCCTTATCAGCGTTGACTTGCCGAATGACTCATTTGTCGAAATGAACGTGTACAAGTAGAAATCTTTTAAAACAACTTATTTATTGGGTAAATGCCAGATAATCGTTGTTAGCCCCCCTCCGCATAAGCCACCATCCAAACACTTCCCACATAAAAAAGCCAACGTGGGGGCACTATTAATTCAAGGATTTGCAGTATCGTGTGGAACCAATTCTGCAAAGATAAATACCACGATAATGAAACAGTCACAAACAATGCTGCGACATAAATATTGATGGCACTGTGTTTGTTGTGGCTAAGGATTCTGGCGCCAATTCTTAATTCCATAGTAAGAAGATAATTATATGGAGGGGTTGACGTTAGGGGTATAGATTATCACACAAAATGACAAGAGATACTCTTCCACATGAATCTTGGGGACATCATCCCCGAACCTCTATGGCCAGTACGGACCTGTAACATGTGATGTTCACAAAAACAGAATTATTTCTGCCAAGCTTTAAATGATAAAATGTAGCACAAAACAAGTGGTCGGGGCCAAGAAGCGACAAGGAACGCAACGAATCAGGTGAAAGGAAAGTTCACATAATTGAGGGGAGGCAGGAGGCGGAGAGATTGAAAATGGTTAAATTTTTTCAATTGACTTTGGTTTAACCATACCGTCATCATATCGCGGTTTAGTGTGAATGGTAAATTCTAAAGCCGGCATCATTGCACCAAAACTCCGACAATTAACAACAGCCCTTTGGGATCGCAAAACTTCTACCCCTAGGCCCCAGTATAGCAACTTCTCTATACGGGCATCTAAAGTAAACTGAACTGGACGCGTCACTTTGGTTGTCTGGCACGGACTGATTATACCGTGACTTTTTACTTATTTACTTACTTACTAAGTCGGGGTTAACCCGGCTACGCATGATGAATCTTCTCCACCCTTCTCGATTCTCCATCATCCTTTTCAGCTCGTTCCTTTGGAAACCAGTGAATTTTTAAAACTACATTAGCTATGTCTTAAATTCGAGAAAAAGCAATATCAGAAAGTTGTAGTATTTTATGATTAGATAAATTACAAGCTTATGTTTCTACTAGAATATGCCGGTAAGGACGTTACAAGCCAGGTGCAGCCAAGTAAACGATTAAAGAGCAACAGTTCTCATTTTAACGAAAACCATAGATTCAGGGGCGTAGCGTGTGGGGGATGTGGGGGTGTAAACCCCCAACTTTCAGAGAACTCGTCGGTAGAATTAGATTTACAACAAAACATTGATGTAACAAAAGAATTTCTGTTGGTAAAATATGGTTTTGCATCTCTTACACCTTTTCGAGCTGCTTCCAGCGTCTTCCGCCTCATTTGCAAGAAAGATCTACAAAGCATACCTTTGAATGGGTGCAATGCTCTTGGGTCTCGAGCTTCCTTTATAGGTATGTCATATGCTTTGCCCCCTCGTAATTCTATGTTTGCTCTTGTTGTATCGAAATGAGTGTTGTTTGGAACTATCATATCAGGGTTGACCGTGGCTGTAAACAGTATACGTTCCGCTGCTCGTCCTTGGTGGGTTGGAATAACATGCTTGAAGTTAAAAAGCTCTGTAACAGCGTCCCTGAACCTGTACCAACTCGTGGATGAAGCGTAACTTTCATCTCCAAGCTGCATTTTAGCCATTTGCTCATTCGACAGAGAGCCAGTTCCAGAATCAGTCAAAAAATCAACCATTACATCTTCAGATGGGATTTTAAATAGATTGTAACTGCAGTCTTTCAAAAGTTTTTCCCTGTGATCTTTTGCAGTCTTTTTTATCCTTTGAACGACACTTATCTTGAATGCAGGGAATGTGACTTCTTTTGAATCATTGTCCTTGCTTGCCCAACTCATGATTTCACTCGATACTGGATGAACCAGATGCTTGTAACGCTCACTGGTGGCGTTTTTTAATTTTCTTTTGAAATGCAAGTAGATCGGTTATCTCTTTACTAAAAATGGGTTATGCCCAATGATATAGAAGCGGCGAAGGCGCTAGTTAAGTGATTTTGCCTCACTCGATAACAATAGAGTTAGACATCTAGCGACTTCGTTGCTTGTATATCATTGGTTATGCAAAATGCGTGATACAATACATGCGTGATAATCTCTACAAAGCGTCATTCAGGGATGCCAAGTCTGAACGAGAATGTCAGAAGTATCTCGATTCGGGGAGCCGGAGCCGCAGAGAGGGATTATGGACCCCGGGTCATAATGCTAAAACTGCGGCTATTTTGGTTGCTGAAATTCAGGGCCGCGGACAGGATTTATAGGCCCCGGGTCAAAACGAACGATAGAAAGCAAGTGGTCGGAGGATAATTGCGATGGTGGCTATTACTTCTTTGGTAATTTAAAGGGGGCCTATTACAGGGGGGCAAAAGCCGCAAAACCGTGCAAAAATCAACCAAATGCCGCAATCCGCAATGAATGTAAGAGGTCCTATAAAGGGAAATTGAAATATGAAACAATTAAAGTTTTCGGGGAGAAAATATAACTATTTAGATTTTTTGGTTTTGAAATATGAAATAACTATGGTTCCCAGTATGAAATATGAAATAACAAAATAACTGAACGGTTGGTAAAAATGCCAATAGCATAGAATCTACCGCAAATAGTTTTGGCAAATAGTTATATTATCTCAACAAAATAGACGAGAACATCAAATGGCATCATAAAAATGTTTTTATCTACATTAATTGTTCCACATCTTTATACTATGAATTCTTTCTAAGACCACTAAACAACAGTTTTGTAAACCATTTAAGTTGCAGGAATAATTTGCTGATAAAATATTTTCTCTAAATCTTCAAATCTCTAAACAGATATTGTTCATTTTTTAATTTTTTTCATTTGAAGCTAGACATGTTTCCCGCGAAGTTATTCTTTTCTTAAACAAATTAGACGAAGCACGTAGCACACCAATTCAACTTACAGCCTCATTTCTGCATTAAATCCACAATACAAGCACAAACAATATGAAAAATTGTATCCAGCCTACAATGATGATGATAAAGCCGAATCTGAGCATAAAAATGTCGTACATAATAAAGTTTGGAGAAATTTCCTAAACGAGGCCGTAAGTCGAATCGGTGTATACTTGAGAGAAGCAAGTAACCGATATCTCATAATGTCAAAAAGAATTGTTTCTGACTATACTTTTTAATTCAGTATGGCGCCAATAAACAATGCTAAAAATTAATAGATATTATGTTTTTGATGCAAGATGAAGTAACTATATTAGATCAAACTATAAGGAAAAATTATGAAAAGCCACGTGAAGGCAACCGTAAAGAGAATTTGGCCCACTACAGCTCCTGCTTTTTCACACTCGATGAGTACCACTTCGACACCTAAAATATTTACTCTTTAGAAACATGTAGTCAATCTCTAGTTTTAATAACGATTTCTTCTTGAGAACACCGAGAGAGTGGATTTTGCTTAGTTTTAGCTTTGCATAAACTTTATTTTAACATTTTTTCTTGCTATCTTATGCATCCAAGACTGCAAGTGACTAGAAATAATAGTATGACTGTAGTATGAAGAATTGATTAAACAACTGAATTTACTGGTTGTTAGGGCTCTTGGCGGTTAGTAGAGCCAAAGAAGATGTCCCAAAATTCAAAGTTAAAAAATCCTTCAGTTCAGTTTTATCTGTGAACAAGCTAAAGCATTTGAATTTGCAACGCTTATTTCCCAATCTTTTCATTGCATTAAGTTTGTTCCTGACTTTGCCTTCTAGTGTTGCATGCCAGGGCCGCCGAGAGGCGGCCTGGGCCCTGGGGCAAAGTCCTGGTTGGGGCCCTAAAGTCGGATACAACAATTTTTCGAGACCACGCCCTTTTTGAAATGGGAAACGCCTATTATTTCCAAACGTTTGCGCACGTTATAGAATATGGTTAAAATATCATAAAATGTAATAAAAAGCATTAATTCTAAAGGTGAGCGATTTAAATACGCTCTTTGACCACACCCTTTTAGCTGATTAAAGAGGACTTCAAAATGTGTTCCTTCAATTCTGACTGTTTATTTCTGGTGAGCCACGCAATATTAAGATTTAAAATGAAAGGAAACTTTTATTCTACGCACTTTTATTTAAAAAATCCCATGAAACTACGCTTTTCAATTCTTTCGTCCTTCAAAAGTTAATTTTTCTTGCTTTTCATTTGCAAACCGATCAATGATATTGTCGTAATCAATTTGTCTTGCTAGTTCGTGCTCGATCGAAAAAGTCACGAGACTTGATAGTCGGTCTTGAGTCATTGTTGAACGTAAGCGGCTCTCTATTAATGCTAGTTTGCTGAAAGGGGCCCCAAAAGTATAATATAGCTTTATGCAACGAGTCTAAATGCAAACATAACTCACTTGAACGGGCCATAGATTAAAACAAGATTATATGGGTTACCTAATTTTTTATCAGGGCTCCCTTCCAATTAGTACGATTTTGCGAAACTCAGGGAAACTCAGCTTAAGAGACGAATCCGCAAAATATGTGATCTAAGGTTTATTCAGCTTTTTTCGGGGCCCCAGACTCAATAAATAAAGCTGATAGGCTTTAAATTCAAAAAAGACTCAGTGTACGGACCCAATGAAATTACTGCCATCATTTTCGGCATTAACAAATATATCTTTGAATGCATTTTCAGTTTCTCAAAAAAAAGACATTTTAAAAAAATTTTCAGAATAATTTTGGGGCCCCTTTCAGGCCGAGGCCCTGGGGCAACTGCCCCCCTGCCCCCCTCTCTGCGCCACTGATTGCATCAGGCGAAATATTGTCCAGGAAGCTCAAATCCATAAAGTATTATCTTCGCTTTACCATTGACCAAAACAGGCTTAGCTCACTGGTTTCAATGTCCATGGAAAATGAAATTGCCGAAAAACTTGACTATAGCTCCATAATTAACCTTGTTACAGATGCAAAGCCTTGAAAATTTTGTTGTGAACTATCTAGACAGTTACCGAAAGCTACTAGCTCTGTTAGAGTTACATAAATGGGGTTAATACTATTACTGCTTGCTTCTATCATTGAAAGGTTTTGGTAATGGAGAAGCTGAATTGCTACTTATCAACTTTTGACTAAGTTATTATCTGTGGGCCCTTAAAGTCATGGGCCCCCGGGTCGCCTCGGCAAGGCTTGCTTTCGTCAAAGATGGTCTTGTTTCGGACAACAGAGCTCGTTCCATCGAAAATCGGGATGCGAAAAGGGAGGTAAATCTAGGGGTTTTAGTTAGACTATTTAGTTAGGCCATGGCCACCCCCCCCCCCCCCCAGTGGCGCGGGCCCTGTTTACACTAAAGGAGATCTTAAGAAGTGAAAAACGTTTGAATATCAAATTTCATAAAGATGGGTATGCTTTACCAAATACATTTTCACTATTCAAATAAGTTGACAAGAATGCAATCAGAATGCAACCTTTCAACGTCAACAGAAAAACTAGTTGACTCGATCTTGAAGCTCGTTTAGACGAAGGGCTTGATGCCCCAAAAATTAAGACCAAGAGAAATCTGTCCAGTTTTATCTCTTTCTTGAAGTAAAATCAAGAAAAAAGCCTTAGGCGAATTCAAGATTAATGTCGGCATTGTTATCATTGATAGTGTTACAGCAAAGATAATTAGGCGATTCATGTCAATTGGCGAGATATTGTTTGGGTTCAGTATTCTTTGATTATACACAAGGTTCAACCTAGCAAAAAGTACCAAACTCTGCGCACCAAAAAAGAATGACATATGTCCTAACATCACTGAGGACGGTTTAAAACGGTTATTTCCCAATGTTTTAATTGCATTAAGGTTGTTTTCTGACTTGCCTGCTAGTGTTGCACTTGCAACAGCTGAAATATCTTTCAAATTTTCTATAGAAACTGAAATTTCCGAAAAACTTGACTATAGCTCCATAATTGACCCTTTCACAGATATGAAGACTTGGAAATTGTTTTGTTAACTAGCTAGAAAATTAGTTAAGCCTATTAGATCTGTTTGACAAACATAATGGGGTTAATACTGCTGCTGCTTTTACCTTATTTCATTTGAAGGCTTTGCTTATTATTCTTACCATTTTTGATAGGTTTTTGATAATGGAGGGGCTGAATTGCTACTTCTTAAGTGTTTAGTTCAGTAATTATCTATGGGCCCCTAAAGTCATGGGCTCCCGGGTCAGTGACCTCTCTGACCCCCCTCTCCTCAGCTCTGCGGAGAGCATTTACCTATGGGGATGGACAGAGTGCTTTTGAGAATTCATTATTCGGTAATATTTGGTCATACAAGTAAACATCAGGAAACTGCAAGGAAATGATTAATTATTAGGTTGATGACACTTAAACTGCTTGCACAAATGTCAGCATTAACTATACGTCTAGAAAGGGGTGTGCTTGGCAGCTTCTAGTATACTCCAAGTAAAAAGTAGCTACCAAAAAGAAGTTTTTGTCAGGAAGAAATGTAACTGTGATGAATGCCATGTTTGCAAATATTATTCTTCATTTTTTACTTTAATGATTTAACTTTCCCACTTTCCGAAGTCAGACGAAACTAAGGATATGGTTGGCCGTTACAATCCTTTTTAAAACCAATAGATTCCTTGTATTTGGCTATGATCAATGCCGAATGGCGATGACACTACCTTATCTTGCATTCGCTAAGTTGCTTTGACGGGCACGGGAGCATCTCTAGAAGTTTTTCCAAATGGCTGAAAACCTCAAATTAACGTTGGAAGCCGTGTTAGACGAAAAATGATATTTCTAGGTCTTATGAAACCTATTTTGGGACCAATGAAGTTTCAGGAAGTTGACCTTGACAAAAGTCGTCACTTCTACGCCTGGGTTTCTGTCATTATAACATCCCAAGCCACTCTGAACAAAGGACTCACACAGCATTATTTTCTTATGCTCCTAGACTCTTAGGAATTGGTGTAACACATCACTCCAACTCTTCATGGAAATCTCACCACAGTGTCCTAATGCCCTGGCCATGTGGCAGCGGTTTTCGCATCCTCCATCTAATACCTTTCTCGTTTGGCACCAACCAGTGA